TTAAATGACCTTCTTTTAACCACAGACAGCGGAGGGTGCTCTATTTTAATTCTTTTAGACCTAAGCGCAGCCTTCGACACGATCGACCACAGGATTTTATTGGATCGCCTCAAAACGTGGGTTGGCATCAGAGATACTCCACTTGGTTGGTTTCATTCTTATCTTTTAGACAGAACCTTTGCGGTCACCATGGGTGATTTTACCTCCTCTACAGCCCCCATTACCTGTGGTGTGCCGCAAGGTTCTATTTTAGGTCCCATTTTATTTTCTATTTATATGCTCCCCCTAGGACACGTTATGGCCCGTCATAACGTGTCCTTCCACTGCTATGCGGACGACACACAGATCTACCTCCCGCTGAGACCAAACGACCCTGGAAGTCTGGCTGCTGTGGTCGACTGTTTTAACGATGTGAACCGTTGGATGGCCCATAACTTTCTACACTCAAAGAAATGACTTGTAGAATTTACTTAATAAAATCATTGTAAGTATTTGCACTCAAAATTTCTAAGTAATTTTAATGCTGTAATATCAAGTATAACTTACTTGCCAGTATCAAGTACAATGTACTTACTACTAACCTTAAACTTTGTGAGGATATTATGTAAATGTTATGCAATTATTTTCATACAGATATTAAAATATTAGGTAAATCTTACTTGTTTATATCATTTTCTGTTATGAAGTGAATAAGTAGATATTACTTAATTTTTCTGTTTAAATTATTATTATTATCTACATGCTTTTTGGGTTGTTCCACTTTAATTGTATCATTAGGATGTCATAATATTTATTATTCAAATAGAGCTCAGCGACAAGTGGTACAGTGTACAGACTCTGTGGCACACATACAATACACATTTGATCTAGTGACAAACCCAGGAAGTAAAGCCATACTTTGACTTGGCCATGTCGATCATGGTTGGTAAAAATATATTTAAATTTTTTCATTTGGTCAAATTTGTTTGTTCAAAATGTTGCTCACGTATTTTGTTTTAAGACTGGCTTTGTATTCACCCTCAAAATTAATGCTCAAATGTAGATTTTTTTCAGAAGTTTATGTGTTTCTCTGCATTGCATTCTGGGTAGCGTCACTACTTCACCCAATAGTTAAAAGTTACTTGATTTTTTCAGGTTTTGGTGCTATGACAATAAATCATGTAAATGGTACGAGCAAATCTCTAGTAAGATGTACTCTTTCCACTCAATTAATTAATTACCTGAATAAACTGTGTAAATATTTATGTTTTTAACTAGTTTTTGCTGACAGTTGATATTATAGGTAGAAACTACTACTTTTGAGTTAGTATATATTACTACACCCAAAAATCATTTTTTTGAGTGTACAGCCCAACACCTCCAAATCAGAAGTCCTCCTCATCAACCCGCCTCCATCTATATCCCACATCCAAACCCACCTCGGCCCCCTTTCCTCAAACATCACTCCCTCCGCCCGTAACCTTGGTGTCATTTTTGATTCTCACCTCACTTTCCGCTCCCACATCAATAAAACCACCCAAACCTGCTTTTATCACCTCCGCACAATCTCAAAGATTAAAAACATCCTCACTCCTCCCGATCTCCATAAAGTCGTCAACGCCCTCATCTTCTCCCGCCTCGACTACTGCAACTCCCTTCTCTCCAATCTCAACGCTAAATCCCTCTCCCGCCTCCAACTGGTCCAGAACGCAGCAGCCAGACTTCTCACTGGTTTTAACAGAAGGGAGCACATCACCCCTGTTTTAGCGTCTCTCCACTGGCTCCCTGTGCGTTTTAGAATTGATTTTAAGATTTTATTGATTACTTTTAAAGCTCGTTTAGGTCTGGCACCAAGCTATATTTCTGAACTTTTAACCCCCTACGAGCCCCCCCGCAGCCTTAGATCCTCGGGCAGGTCCCTGTTGACTGTTCCAAGGTCGAGGCTCCGGACGAAAGGTGACCGAGCCTTCTCTGTCCGGGCTCCTCGGCTTTGGAACGACCTGCCCGAGGAGATAAGGCTAGCACCATCAGTATCCTCTTTTAAATCTCTTCTTAAAACCCACTTTTATCAAACAGCTTTTAACTGTTAGTTTTAAACTTCCGATGCTGTATTTTATTGTCTGCTTTGTCTTTGTTGAGTCTCTTTTGTGTTTTGCTCTGTTTGCTTTGTGTTTCTGTATCTAATTATTTTGACCTTGCATTATGACTGTTTTTATTGTTTATCATGCTGACTGTGCAGCGCTTTGTAAACACTGTTTTTAAAAGTGCTATATAAATAAAGATTATTATTATTATTATTATATTTTTATTACTTTGATAGTCTCAGGGTTCTGTTTAAAGCGCAGAGAGAACCATGAAGACAAAGGAACACACCAGGCAGGTCCGAGATACTGTTGTGGAGAAGTTTAAAGCCGGATTTGGATACAAAACGATTTCCCAAGCTTTAAACATCTCAAGGAGCACTGTGCAAGCAATTATATTGAAATGGAAGGAGTATCAGACCACTGCAAATCTACCAAAACCCGACCGTCCCTCCAAACTTTCATCTCAAACAAGGAGAAGACTGATCAGAGATGCAGCCAAGAGGCCCATGATTGCTCTGGATGAACTACAGAACAGGCTAATGGTCAGAATGGACATTTCTTCTTTCTTTCCCATTCCTAACCTGAAGTATAAGGTGAAGATGCCACTAACACCAGAAGAATCACGTTTGCTAAATGGTTTGACTCATTGACCTGGTCACGGAAAGGTCAAGCCTGATTAGTATTAGCTTTATCAGCATTAGCACTGTGGATTACACCTGTCTCATCTGCCCCCCTCCATGTTCTGTATGAGGTCACTTACCATCTGAAGCTTGCAAATGAGAACTGACATTTAAATGGACTATTGTGGATATTATAGTCATGGGGCAGTCATCTGGTTCTTGTGAACACATTGTAATGTTGTTATCTAAATGGTGACAGTGATATATTAACGGTTTTCATCGTAAATACCTGTAGTCATGAGATGTTGGTAGCAAACCAAAGAATGAGTTTGCGGATACAAGCGGCCCAAATGAGCTTCTCTCCGCAGAGTGGCTGGGCGCTTCCTTAGAGATGGGGTGAGGAGCTCAGGGTAGAGCCACTGCTTCTTCAAATAGAGAGAAGCCAGTTGAGGTGGCTCGGGCATCGGTTTGGGATGCCTTCCTGGGGAGACCAGAGTGTGTGGATGGGGAAGCCTGGGTATTTCTGCTCAGACTGCTGTCACCACAACTGGCAATAGATAAAGCCGAAGAAAATCACTGGAGGGATTGATATCTATAGATTTGGAAATGGGCCTCTATCTATTTTTCTATCTGTTTCTGCTGATTTCAGATAAAGAGGCAGAATGGATAATCAGGATTAAATGCTCAAGTAAACACACAACTGTTTTTTACATGAAAATAACACCCGTCGAGATCATGATTGCGATTTCAAATGCACTAAATGTGTAATGATGGCTCACAGTTGAAACACACTTTCTATATATGAGACAGAGTCTTTTATGTATATAGATATAGATATCTATATATATATGCATTTGAATGACATTAATGTTTTTTTTTTGTCTCTTGCGTTTCAATGCAGATTGCAATTTTGGGTGAAAGAAAAAAGTATTGCAATAATATCGTTATCACAATACTAAACACTTTCCAATATTGTGCAGCCTCAATCCAACAAATACAACAGTGGTAAATTCCATGAAAAAAGAACAGGAGTCAAAAAAATCTTATAAACTCCTTTCCCATTTTTGTATAAGAACCAAAAATACAAGATTGGCTCAAACCAGAACCAACTTTCGATGCATTTTTTCTGTTTGTCCGATCATTATTATATATATTTTTGCGTATAAACTATTCAAGTGCATTGCCAGACACTCTGCACAGATACTTAGTTATTCTGGCACAGGGCTTTTGTAAATGTAAAAGTATCAGTATTATCTGGTGTCTTGTTTGTTGCTACTAAACAAACAGGCTCCTCTGACCACATTTACCACAAGCTCAGATCTGTGTCACTTTACGGACACTGCTGCAGCCGTTTTTCTGAAGAGCAGCTTCTGTGGCCTCGTTGACTGTAAAAACAACCAAACGACTGCGTCCTGGAGATACCAATTAAAAACCACGACACCAAATGAACTATGCCACACACCAGGACTGGAGAAGGAGGAGGAGGAGAGAGAGGAAGAGGCTGCGTGTGGAAGCGAAAGTGAAAATAATGACGACGAAAGATTGTTTCCTCTCTCTTAACCATGAAAGTATGCATTGTCACTCTCACCATCTCTTTCGCCGTTTAGCATTTAATAAAATGTGAGGTAATAAATGCGTGAAATAAGTGCTTTTTATCGGAGCACATTCTGACTGTCTTGAAGCCATTTAGTTTTATTTCAAAACAGTTTTTTTTTCATTCCAAGGGAGACATTTCTTGTACCTTTTTAAAACGAGATAATTTTGCTGCTTTTTCTTTTGGCAAATCTGATTTTAAGGCTGTCAAAATGTGCTCAAATTAAAGGAGCAGTATGAAGAAATATGGCTAAAAGTGGTACTGCAACTTCTCCGACTCTCCCTGACTCACAATATTGTTTGTTTTGTCACTAATCTATAACGAACATCTTTTTCACAAAGGCCATGATATAAATCCTTGTTTTTTGTCCTTGGTTTGTTGTTAATGATTTGAGAATCATAACGAGACCTTTTTTAGTTCTGCAACCACCTCTGATTTTTGTTTTTTTCCCATCCAAGGTAACACTAACAAGGCTATTAGAGCTTCTGTTCCAGGCTGAACTTTATACATTTATTGATTTGCCAACACAGATCAGAGAATCAAAAGGTTCAAACACAGGAAATGCAAAGATAAAAAACACATTTGTCCATAAGGAGCAGATGACCAGTGTCTATAAATGTTGATGAAGTCCATGAATGTCGTTGAATGTCATTGTCGAATCACCACTGTGAGAAAAATAAATAAAATAAACTGATCCCTTCCCTCTCTGTTGTGCGTGTTCAGGGACGATGGCCGTGTGGATCCAGGCCCAGCAGCTGCAGGGAGACGCCCTGCACCAGATGCAGTCTCTGTACGGGCAGCACTTCCCCATCGAGGTGCGCCACTACCTGTCCCAGTGGATCGAGGGCCAGCTCTGGTCAGTACGTCATGAGGGGCCTTTTCTTATAATTGTTTGTTTCAGTATGAAGGTATTTGGACATGACTTGAACGTGACTTGAGGTCCACTGTTATTTTATGTTTGATTTTTATACAAACAAAATGTATTCATTGTTTGAATTGAACCAAAACTGGACCAAATATAAAGTTAAACACATTGCTCTGTATGATGTGTTGGGTTAACATTTTGAATATATATGAATGTGGTCGTTTTCCTGAGAAAATAGATCATGTATAACGTGCCATGGAAGCTCATTACCATCAACGCAGCAAGTTAATAATATTAAATGAAAATCACTTTAGGGGCTATTCTGCTCAATGTTTGATCTAAATCTCACATGACGTGGTCTAGTTGAAGGCACATAGTAAATAGAAAACTAACTGTCATTGTGTTTATTAAAGAGCCATTTAGACAAAGTTTTCACCAAATTGTGCTTTTTAATACTGTATATAATTTATTTATTTATTTATTCATTTATTCATTTTTATTTATTTATTTATTATTATTTTTATGTTATACTTTTGTATTATCTATTTTTAGACTAATTGAATGGGCCCATATTTTAAAAATGCATACAAATACAAAAGGTTCAGTCAGTATAGCGTGTCCCAGTGTTCTCCAAAAGGTGCATTCACATGAGTTAATTTTACAGTCTGAATATGTTTGTGTGGATTTCAGACTAAAACAACTGAATATCTTTAACGCATGAACAATCTTATAGCAGTTAAAAATTGTGGTGAATGGAAAAGTGTCTCCTCGGGCCTTGTCTATATTTGTGATCGGTTTGACAGGGATGCGGTGGACCTGGAGAATCCGCAGGAGGAGTTCAAGGCCAAGAGGCTTCTGGACGGACTGATCCAAGAGCTGCAGAACAAGGCCGAGCACCAGGTGGGAGAGGACGGCTTCCTGCTCAAAATCAAACTGGGACACTACGCCAACCAGCTCAAGGTAAAGGCTCAGTCTGCGGCCCCCACACATAACGATTTAATGTATGTTTGTGCTTGTATCATTTTAGTGATAATAGGAATGCATAGATTCATAAAACACATTCAAAATCATCACAAACACACAATCACACGCACAACATCTCAAACAAGAATACGCACATAACCACACATAATCACACACACAAAACACAATAGTAAATTGAAAAATAATAATAATCAAAATAATCATAATAATCATGATAATAATAATGCATTGGTTAAAAAACACACTGGCAAAATCACACACACACAAATAAAAGAGTTCACACACAAACGGAATCAAACCAACACACATACATAAAATCACACAAACACACAAAATGACCAGACAGGAAATCATTCACATACACAACATCACAAACACAAACACACAATCACACACACAACATCTCATATGAAAAGGACGCACATAAACACACAAAATTGCACGCACAAACACGTACACAAACACACAAAATCACACACACGAACAAACATGCAACATCTCACACAAGAACACGCACACACACACAGCATCTCGCACACAAACAAACAAAACTCACACACACTCAAACACACACAATCTCACACACAAACACACACACAACATCTCACACAAGAACACGCACACAAACACACAAAATTACACACACAGCATCTCGCACACAGACAAACAAAACTCACACACACTCAAACACACACAATCTCACACACACAACATCTCTCACAAGAACACACACACAGACACACAAAATCACACACACAGCATCTCGCACACACACACAAACAAAAAAAACTCACACACAGACACACACTCAAACACACACAACATCTCACTCAAGAACACGAACACAAACACACAAAATCACACAAAATCACACACACAGCATCTCGCACACAGACAAACAAAACTCACACACAGACACACACTCAAACACACAACATCTCTCACAAGAACACGCACACAGACACACAAAATCCCACACACAGCATCTCGCACACACACACAAACAAACAAAACTCACACACGGACACACACTCAAACACACACAATCTCACACACACACACACACACACACCAAACTGCACGGTGTTGTTCAGCTTAAAAGGTTCAGTCTAAAAACATTTCTGTCTGTCCTTCCGAAGCCGAGAGCTGCGTTTTTTCATCATTATAAACTGAAAATTGTCTTTTTTGGTAAAAAAACAGGGACCAGTGGATCACAGTCGTCCTGCTGCGTTCTACTCCATTAAATTACACCACATCCATCTTCTCTCTTATGAATGATGATTTTACGTTGTCAAAGTATGATCATGCTTCGCTTCGGCAGGAACAGGACAGACCATGTTTGTTTGTGTTTATGTTCAGGACCCCTTCAACAGTGAGATGATTCGTCTCAAAAAAAGACACTTAAAGTCACAATTAAAGAAGCAATATGTAAGATTTTCATGTAAAGTCCTCATTAAAGAGCCCTAATCCGTCAAAAGGCTTTAATAAAACATGCTCTTTTCCAATTCTTCTTTAACTGATGACAATAGTTCAGAGATAGTTGAATTTCAAAATTAGTTGTACAGCCCCTAAATCCCTCCACTGTTTAACCAATCAGAAAGTCCGTGATCCGGGTTGCCTGAACCCACCGCATCGAGCTACTCTCACTGGTAAAGTAACATGTAGCAGCAGAACTAAAAAAGGTCTTGTTATGATTCTAAAATTATATAAAAAAAAAAAAGGTGTTGGTTATAGATTTGTGGTTGAAAAAACTTGTGTCTATTCCGCCATTATGGTCCCAGCTGGATTCATCTGCATATCTGGCAACCTGAGTCAGGGAGAGTGCACCAGATGCAGTCTCTATACGGGCAGCAGAGCTAAAAAAGGTCTCGTTATGATTCTCAAATCATTAACGACAAAACAAGGAATTAAACCGTTATTTCTATCTTTGTGAAAAAAGTGTTGGTTATAGATTTGTGGTTGTCTATTCAGTTATTATGGTCCTAGCTGGATAGTTTACATTTCTGGCAACCTGAGTCAGGGAAAGTGGGAGAGGTTGCAGTACCACTTTTGGCCACATTTTTACATACTACTCCTTTAAAGACTGAAGATGAATGGAGCAAATACAGGACAAAACCTGTGTGTCATGATATGGATTTAGTGTTGTATGAATTATTCTCCCTATGGTTTCGTTTTTCTTCCTGCCTTGTTCCCCTTTGTTGACCGTCTGCCCCGCCCTCATGTGATTCACCTGTGTCTGTTTGTCTGTATGTACCTGTGCTCTTTTCCCCTTGTAGCTGGCCCAGTGTTGTGGTTTGTCCTGTATTCCTGGTTCCTGTGTTTGTTTGGATTTTTTACCTTGGGATTTCATTTTAACGTTTTTATTAAATTGCTATTTTGCATTCTTGCACTTTTTGGTCCGCATTCACATCGCGTCATGACACCGTGAGGCTGGAGAGGATGTTAAACGATTCCATGTGGGCGATTTTCCTATTTACATTTAGGCTTTTCATACAGTTGCCAACAACAGTCCAGATCTAAAGTGAGAATCTACAGTTGTTCAAATCATATTGCCAAAAATAGAAGTTTTTCTGTCAATACAACACTACAGTATTCTCTCACACAATACATCCTCATAGTATTCTCTTTCCATGAAGTTCATAGAAATACCGTAACGCGCCGCCCTGAGTTCTATTGGTAAGCGTTGTGATGACACCAGATAAGCTGCAGACAGGTGTTCCTAGAAAGTCGAGCCGTTTGATGTTTATTCAATGTTGGGAAACAGGTTTTACGTCAAGTCAAAACACACAATCCTCTGCCTCCTCCCAGCGCCGCTATTTATTACCCGTCCACTCTCTGAACGGCCCCGCACAGACCAGTCATAAAAGAAGAATGGTGTTTACACAATATCAGGAATCAAAGTCCTCCGAGATGACTTATGTTGTGCTTTAGGTCACGTGTGTCCGAGGTGGCAGACTAGAGTGACAACTTTTAAGACTTAAAGGAGCAGTGTGTAAAAATCTGGCCAAAAGTGGTACTGCAACCTCTTCCACTCTCCCCGACTCAGGTTGCCGGATTGCAGATTAATCCAGCTGGGAACATAAAATCTGAATAGAAAAGAGTTTTGTCAACAACAAATCTATAACCAACTCCTTTTTGACAAAGACAGAAATCCCGGTTTTATTCCTTGTTTTGTCGTTAATGATTTTAGAATCATAACAAGACCTTTTTTAGTTCTGCAGCCACATGTTACTTTACCAGTGAGATTAGCTCCGGGCAACCTGGATCACAGACTTTCTGATTGGTGAAACGGTGGAGGGCGGGACATCGAAATGAAAACAATAACAAGATTTATGGGCTGTGAAACTAATTCTGACATCCAAATATGTCGGCTGAACGGTTAACAGTTTTCAAATAGAGAATGGTTTCTTAATGCCTTTTGTCATATTAGGGCCATTTAATGATGATGAATCTCTGAAAATACTCGACTTGATTTTTATTCTTTCAATTAGAAATGTTATATTCATAAGTATTTACAACATTTACATTCCTTAGTTTACATGACCATTTATACATGTTGCCTTCTGTGCGCACAGCATATACCTACAAATGCAAGTATATAAACATAAATATATAATCAAGCAACAATCTTTGCCCTAGTTTGACCTTTTGTTGTATAATTATGATATCAATATGTGTTTACAAATGTGTTTCTATTTGAAAAGAATCTAGTCTGGTTTAGCGCTAACTTATGCAAACACATTGGTTAGCTTTTCCAACCACTGTGTTAGAAGTGTTTTGACCTGTGACCTGAGATTTGCATTTAGCGACATCTGAATAATCTAAGCAGCGATGACAATAATTACATATATTTAATGTGCAGGACTTTAGAGATATGTAACTATTGTCATCATTATACAGACAATGTACTCTCCTCATATCGGTGCAGATCTCTCTCTCACTGTGGGCCTTCCCCGGGGTTTCTCACTTTTTTCTTTTGGGTTTTTGAGTCGTCCCTTGCGGATGCGACGGTGATGATCCAGGACATTTAGGAACATTTGTTTAACATTTATTGACATTTATGTGCCTTCGTTAGCCGCCCATTATGAACCAATGGCTCCTGTTTCAGCCTTTCCTTCATTTTGTTCTTCAATGTTTATTTTTTATGTTTTTTGTAGTGTGTCTTTGAGTGTCCAAAAAAGCGCTTTATAAGTTTAGCGCGTGGTACTTTTTAAATGCTTTTTAACTTTTATTGCATGAATGTTTTAATGGATTTTATTTTTTTGGTCGCCTTGAGTGTTGTAAAGGGCTATATACATGAAAATTGATTAATTTTGTATGTATAATTATTAATATTATTATTGGGCGGCATGGTGGCTGAGTGGATAGCATTCCCGCTTCTCAGCAAAAAAGATCCTGGGTTCGAATCCCGGTTGGAACAGGGCCTTTCTGAGTGGAGTTTGCTAGCCTGGTCGTACCACACCATAGTACATATTACATTTCGTACGATTTGCTCCATTGAGCTCCGTTTACAGGGTTAACTCCTTTTGCAGATTGAAACGATTGGATCTGAGTTTACCGTCACGTATATAATGCGCCCAAGTGAGTTGTGAGCATTTAGCATTTAGCCTAGCTTTAGCCATCTCCTTTGCCACTAACGGAGCCCGTGGGGAGTAGCGCCACAATTTCTTCCAGCGATTACATTTGCTAAACATTCCTATTGCTCCGGCTTCAATTTCTTGATAGAACCAGACCGGATTACTTTACTATCGCATTCTTCGTCATTACCAAACTACGACCTCCCGTTCGACGCAAACTCTTGACGTCACCCACAACTAACTACAACGCTCTCCTTCCGCGCTCGCTGATTTGTCGGTCGAAATTCAACCAATTGTAATCGCTAACCCAGGGACCAGACCCAGACGTTACATGCAGTGAAATGATGATTGAGCGGAGTGTACGAATGGCTAAGGCCAGGCTAGGAGTTTGCATGTTCTCTTCGTGTTATTCACCTACTGACTTAACAGGAGGCTTGTAGAATGAGATTTACACAATATATACTCTCTGTTTGGAGTAAGAGACAAATGCCCACAATTGTAAAGCGCTTTGTGACTCTGTTCCTTGAAAGGCGCTATGTAAATAAAGATTACTTACTTACTTACTTACAATCACACCGGGGAACAGGACAGAAAGTAAAACTGAAAATGAATCCACAGAACTAAATTATAAAATCCCACACCATGACACCACAGCTCTTACCATTTGAATCCACTTTACACATTTGTACGCAAACTCATAAGTAATAAGTAAATGCAAATCGCCCCAAACCCCCTCCTGCAAAAGCAATGATTACATGAACTATGTGACACCCATTATCTCTCTCCGTCTCTCGTTAGTTTCCCCTGCGCCGTCTGCATGTCCGTTGCAATAATTGGCCCTTATATGAAGCCCTTCCTGCTCTCGACATGTGCTCCATTAGCCCCGTGTGCCGTTCCTGGATTTGGAAATTGGTCAGAGCGGAGTCCGCGGAAGCTCGGCTCCTCGGGCTCTTAACACGGCACATCGGCAGCTTCTCTTTCCGGGCACGTCCGACCACTACGCCTGCCATCGCTCCCCACCGAAACAAATGATGGTGATGAAGAGGCTGGAGACGGGATTAAGTGATGTTGTTAAATCTGTAATTGTTCCTGCAGTGGCTAAGCTTGAAATGGTGTTGTATTGGTGCAAACTCTCTATATTCTTCTTTATTAGACACTGGGGTACCTTGCTTTGAAACTAGAAAAAATTAATATATGATAAAAACCCATGTAATTCTGTGATCTCAAAGCTGGTTGGTTCTGTTTACTAGTTTTCACATGCATTTTTATTATTATTAAAAAGGTGACAGAGGCCAAAGTACTGTTGGCCTCTGTCACCTTTTCAATAATAATAATAATAATAATGCATTGTTTTTTTTCTATATACATAGGACACACAAAGACGCCCTACACTCCTTGACCCACTTGTTTTTGAGTACCAGCCCCTAAACCTTAAACTAGACCCTAACCCTTAATCTAGCCTTCTACCTCTGGACAATGTTTTATAATTAGATAAATGTGATTTGTTTCTGCTTGGACAAACAAAGTATTTATTTACAAAAGTATGTATTTATGAAACAAAGTGTTCTTGTGTGTACTGTTATTGTGTCCTTAGGCAAGACACTTCACCCACATTGCCAAGAATAAGTCTGGTGTGTGTGTGAATGGTTGGTGGTGGCCGTTGGGGCAGATGGCACATACTGGTTGCCTCGCTTCTGTCAGTGTGCCCCAGGGCAGCTGTGTAAGGAGTGAATGCATAATGACATGTGACGTGTCTATGCGTGTCCAAAAAAGCGCTATATAAAACCAATGCATTATTATTATTATTATTATTATTATTTTGTACACAATTATGACATCTTTTCCCTTCTGTCTTTGTGAATCTACATTGTTATTGCCTTTTCACTCACACAGATACACTGCATATGCACCGCTATACAATTATGGAACTTGTTGTAAGTGTAACTAGTATTAATACTACTAATAATCATTGACCGAGGTGTTTTTTTGTTTCCTCTCAGAGCACGTATGACCGGTGTCCGCTGGAGCTGGTCCGCTGCATCAAGCACATCCTGTACACGGAGCAGAGGCTGGTGCGAGAGGCCACCAACGTGAGTCCAAACCACACATTACTGGTCTCGCAACAGGCACTTACAATTATCAGGAGCTTTGTTTTCTGTTTTCATGTATGAAGTGTGGACCTGTCCTTCTGTAATACATTTTTGAGTGTCCAAATAATGCTGTATAAGTATGATGTATTATTATTTTGTTTTTTATAGGGCTGTCAAAATTATCGCGTTAATTACCGTTAATTACCGTTTTCATTAACGCGTTAAAAATAATTAACGCATTAACTGCCATTGACGTGTTAACACGTCAATTGCGTTTCCCGCTATTTTCACGTTCCCAGATGTCTATTGTATCAAATATGTAAGGCTTGAGGCAATATTTTATCGAGCCAGCAGAATGGTTTGAAAACAGCTAGATGCACTTTCTGGTAATTTCAATAAAAGTTACCTCTACTCGACTGGGGATTACAGGGGAACGAAACAAGCTAGAAACAAAATTATTCTTGCTGATGAAAGTAGACAGTCCATTCTTTCAGAATCTGGTTTTGGATTTCAGATAGTCATAGTACACAATATTCTGTGGGTCGTGAAAAATCAGTAAAAATTATCAGAAACGGCTGGCAATATGGGAGTACCTGTTCTGAAATGGGCTGGAAGGCAATCGCATGTCCGAATGACCCGCCCATTTATAATAATATCACTCAGAATGCCACCGACATGTGCGTGTGTGTGATGGTGACAGCGGTAACGTGGTCATATAATACACGCATATATATACACGCACAGGGGCCATTCTCTGATGTTCTCTGATGATGGAGGAGAGGAGGAGACACGCTGAAATGCAACCAAACTCGCAAAATTAAAGCTGGGGTACCTACATTTTCCCTTTAATTAACAGCTCTTGTTGGTTGTACCCAAAAGTAGAAGGTTGTGAGCAAGTCAAACAGATTTAAGTACATTTGGTATGAATAACAATGTGTCATTACACTTGAAAATCTCATTTAACTTCAATTGGAGTGGATTTGAAATAGAATGCTTAAAATGCGATTAATCGTGAGTTAACTCACCATTACTCTGCGATTAATCAACTAAAAAAAATTAATCCTTTGACAGCCCTAGTTTTTTATTATTATTATTATGTGGAGTCCTGGATCGATAGTTTGTCTGTCTGTGGAATCGGATCCCTCCCTCTATCTGGGCCTCACCAAAATTTCTCATTATCTCCCACTGGGTTATTTTCGAGTGGGTTTTGATGTGATTGATTATTTTTATAGCACATTTTATAACACAAGTTTCCAAAAAACAAAAAAAAAGTAAAACAATTATGATGTATGGAGTAAAAACAATAACAATTGAATAAAACAATAAAATGGTTATCTAATAAAAAATAAAAAAATGCCAGTTTTCCTATACAAAAAAAAAAAACACATTAAAATGATTAAAACAGATAAAAAAGAGGACCATACAACTCATGCAGTATTATTAACCAGAGGGTAAACACTTAAGATAAGACTTAAAAATTCCAACGAGGAACCACAATTTTGAAGCTAAAATTTGTATTATTTTTCTGATCCGGCCGATGCACCCACCTGCATCTTTCTTCATGGTAAAACTTCCATGTAAGAAAGTGGTAGAGACCCTTGGATTCAGTGAAATGAATTGAGTAATCGTAAATAAACTGCAGATTACTTTATTTTTACAGTAATCTTCATATATATTACAAAGCCATGCTAATCAGGCAATGAGCAAATGTGGCAAAAAACTGGCACTCTCAAAAACTATCGGTAATCATAATTTAGTAAGCTTTAATGGTCAAAAGACTGATGAAATTTGCAATATAGACCAGAGATGTGCTTTTTTTATCAGGGAAAGTACCAATTTGATGGGAGATGATAAAACCCTACTGCTGTCATCAGCCAGACTCCTGACAGTTTTTAATGTGTAGAACTTAGATTTGGAAACATGAATCTTCACCAAATATGGAAACATACTGTAAATATTCCCACTGTCCCACCTTTTAATCCAGGCACAAAACAACACCTCTACACCTTCTACATAATCGCAGGAAATTGCCAACAAACAACAAAATTATGGCTCAATTTTGAATCCGCTCTATGCTGCTATGCTACGACTGTGGGGCTCTTAAAGGGCTTGCGCTATACACGAATGAACGCGCTCGGGAAATTGAAAGCTGAATATTTCATAGTGTAGAAAAATGCAGCCGGTTTCACAGCAAATCCATGAATCCAAAGTAGCATGAGATATTTGTTTTAACATCTCCTGCTGGGAATTGATCTCTCTTCCTCATGGTGTCTGCATGTGTTTTGTTTTTACACAAGCCGTGTAACCCCGTGTACTTTTTTTTTAGTTTTCGATTTGTATAAAAATTGAAAAGTTGAGCACCTTTTTTTCATTGTCAAATATGAGTCAAACTTTGTCCTAAACGTTGAATTTGTAAAAGTGTTCATTTTGATTATGTTTTCCTCCTTAAGTTAAAAAAGTGTTATACGTCGCTTTGGGAATAACATGTTTTTTGGGAATTTAAAAGCGACAAAACTTGCTAATTTGTCTCAGCTTTTGTACCTGTTATAGTTCCCTTTGTCAGTTACATACACAAATCTAGCATCATTCATACATGTTGGTGAGTTATTTATATCTTTATAAATGCAGTCGACATTGCTCTCCCCTCAATCCTCAACAAGTAAAGTGACTTATGGCCTTTACAGACTCAGAGCTAATTTCACTAGATTCACTGCTTCCACATTAAATTGCACTCACCATAGCAACCAACGTACAGTACAGTATGTCATATAAAAGGCCTCTTAGATACTATTAAATACTGTAGCTGTTTGTGGAAGAGTGCATCAAGGCTCTCAGGCTGTGTCCGTGATGGACTGATGCATCTGGAGCATGCACCACAGTAAAACTACCAAACAAACCAAACTAAAAGCCACTTGGGTGGGGTAAAAAGGACCTAACGGAAAAAACATTGCAGATGAGCAAAGCACTAAACTATATTTGGAAAGTACAGCCAATACAGACATATAATTCTGTGTTCAGTAACCGATCAGACGCAACAAGACTTTAAGAATAATCTATGCATTTTAGAATAAATATCAAAAGTTTAGAAAATCATATTAATCTATACAAAAACCAGTGTTGAAACTAGATATGAATTTAATCATTTATTCAAGAAAACCTTTTCAGACTAAAATCTACCACTTCTTTCAAGTTCTTTGTACACCACGGTGTTTATAAGTGATGCTGCCGATGTTGACGTCAGACACATTCCTGCTTCCCCGTCTGTTTATGTGAGCAGCAGAAAGATGACATGAGAAAGTGCAGGGAAAACCAGTGGGGGCTAGTCCCTGTGTTTGCGATTACAATTGAATTCCATCCGACCAATCAGCGAGCGCGGGAGGCGGGTGTTGTCGTTAGGTGTGGCTGACGTCAAGAGTTTGTGCCGAACGGGCTGGTTGTAGTTTGGCAATGGCGAAGAATGCGATAGTAAAGTAATCTGGTCTGGTTCTATTAAGAAATTGAAGCCGGAGCAAGAGGAATGTTTAGCAAGTTTCATTGCTGGCTAAGATTGTGGCGCTACTCCCCACGGGCTCCGTTAGTGACAAAGATGACAGAGATGGCTAGGCTAAATGCTAAATGTTAACGACAGTAAACTCAGACCCAATCGTTTCAATCTGCAAAAGGAGTTAACCCCTCCCACCTGTAAACGGAGCTCAATGGAGCACCTCCAGACCTTAGTACGAAATGTAATTTGTACTATGGTGTGGTACGACCAGGCTAAGTGAGGACGGGTTCTGTCTAAAAAATGTCAATAATCATGTGCGCTGACATGCTTGCAATACCACCCCCGGCCGGCGGAGGTGGACTCGGAATAGGAATTAATCTCTCGAAAACCTTTTTACAGGATGGTCCAAAAGTTGCTCTTGGCCCAAAGCTAAAACCACGTTAACAAAAGCAAAGTTTATCTGCGGCAACATAAAATATGAGGTAATAATTTTTATCTTAATTTGATCTAATCCTGTCTTAAAAATATTTTCAAATGAGACAAAGCTATTGAGTCTTATTTCAAGAACTGTTGCTTTATTTTCTCATTCCAACTGAGACATTTCTCTTGTATCTTTTTAAAACAAGATCATTTTGCTTTGTCTCATTGGCAAATCTTGTTTTAAGGCAGTCAGAATGTGCTCAAATGAAGATAGATTTAGCTCAAACTTATTTTTCATTACTTTTCACAGTGCAGAGAGTTATATACGTACATACATAAACCTGATATCAAACATTCCAGTCTGACATCTCCTGAATGAGTCCATTTCTCACCTTCCACAATTCCATCAGTTTCTAGTATGTGAGTGAGTTGTGAGTGTTTGGTGTGGACCCTGAACGCACCGCTCTGCTGCTGCGCGAGACTTTAAAGGGCCCATATCACGGTTTTTGACTTTTCTCTGCTTTAAACATGATTACAGTGCTATTTGGCCTTCATACACAAGCCCACAGTAGTTTATTCATTGATTCTGTCAATCTTTTGTAAGAGAACAATCTGTCTCCTTCCCCAGCGTGAGGCACAGAAACGCTCGGGTCCACTTCAGTGACGAAAACCACACTGATGACGCGCATGACCCCGTTTGCTTTGTATTTAAAATAGTTGTTAAATACTTTTGTCAAAACGGGGTAAACAATACACAATTAGTATGCTGTTTTTTGTCAAAAATAATAAAAATAAAAATAAATTAAAAGCCGGCGGGAGGTGATTGACGGATCAAAACAGCGAATCAGAGCGCACAGGCTCCGGCTCCCGAGTCCAGCGTCTGTGGTCTGGTCTCACGGACACCACATAGAGCTGCTGTTTTTATGCTTTTGTCAGAAACTAAAAGTGTTAGGATCACGTCAACTTGAATGAAGTGTGTTATGGGTGTAAATATGTGACACACTATTTGGCCCTAAGAGGAAGAAAGCGGCTCGACTTTTTTCATCTGTTCATCTCATGGATCTATTATAAACCGGTTCATCTGCGACACTTCACTGAGACTGTTCCAGAACTACAGGGACAATGGAACTGGACTTACTCAAAGGCTGATCTGGAAACACGTTATTCCCACGGTAAAAGACGTAACTCGGACCCCCTTGATCTGTAATTAGTGACGCTAACTCGCTGTATACTTCTGTAAACTAAATAACTAGGGTCTGATTGTGCATCGAGGACATAGGGCTCGATGTGACGGATTGTCATTGTTGGAAAAAGTTTATTCTTATGTATGAAATTACTAAGTACAGGTGATAAACGACAAAAGCGTGATGCTACGTCACCGTGCGGGCGGGGGGAGGCGGGCTCACAGGCAGAGGAGCAGACTCTTCTCTGGATCAGCTCGTTTGAGTCGAGGTGACGTCACCTCTATACAAGAGATGGCTCTAATCTCACAAGCTTTGATTGTTGTGTGGTGTATCATACACATTAATATCACACATGTGTATAGGATTGAGTGTGAAACATGAAGAAAAGCGTGATATAGGACCTTTAACTGACGGAGTCGTCTGCAGCCGCCTGATAACACCGTCATTTCCTCTCGTCTCAAAGTTTTTGGTCTCATTCAGCTCTCGTCCGCCGCTTAGTGAAGATGACTCTCTCTGAAACTTGAAACCGCAGTAAAATCCCCTGTGTTTACGTCAAATCCTCTCCGATGACATCATGCGCCGCTGCAGCTCTACTGACGTGAAAAACAAAGTTTACTGTTTGTTTGTTTTGATTTAGAATCCCAATAGCTACCAAAATATACAATAACTATTCTTCCTGCAGGTCTATATATTCAATATGAGTTTAATATTGTGGGTAAATACAAAGCATTGAGACTAAGATATAAGATATAAGTATAATTCATTCATTCAGATGTCACAATACAAACACACCCACACACACACACACACACACACACACTATATTTGAAATAATAGCAACATTAATAACTTTAGCAGCAATGTCAATTCAAACATTTATCCTTCGTCCAAAGCCCTTCAAAAACAGTTTGCAAGTGACAAGTTTTAGTTTTTTATATGTATTCATTTTTTTTTTTTTTGTATTTGCACTTTGGGAAGCCGAGGCTGTTGCAAAAGTGCTTTACAAAAGAAGATTGATTCATTGATTGATTGTCCTACACATTCAAAACTGTTTTACTGTTAAATACAGCTCACAAATATACACTCATGGTCACTTATTCTTAAATACAAAAACTCTGGGTATGAAAGTGACTGTAAGTGCATCCACGGACAAAAAATCTTTATATACAGTACACTTCCCCTTTGATGATGTCCCCAGACAACGTTTAAAAATCCTGAGAGAACCGGCAATAAAGAAACACTGCTTTTGAAAATATATGGACAATATATCAGCTCACATATTTACAAGTTTTTCTAAAGTTACTATTTCACTCATCTTATTCAGTCAGTCCCCAAGGCTGTATTAAGCGCGACATCACCACAATACTCTGCTCACCTTGTGTCATTGTCTATTGTATGGATCCAGACAAAGTGCTATACAACTGTGACCTATACAGACGGCGTTTCGATCTGTGGTTCATTGTGTTCTCCTGGTGTGCTTCAGCTGGCCTCTCCTCTGGGCGCCATGATGGACAGCATGTCACAGAAATATCAACAGATCAACCAGGCCTTTGAGGAGCTGCGGATGTTCACCCAGGACACGGAAAACGAGCTCCGAAAACTGCAACACAACCAAGAATATTTCATAATCCAGTACCAGGAAAGCCTCCGTATCCAAGGTGAGAGCTGGGACTAAGTAGCTGAAGAGGACATTTACAGTGCCTTGCGAAAGTATTCGGCCCCCTTGAACCTTTCAACATTTCGCCACATTTCAGGCTTCAAACATAAAGATATAAAAATTAAATTTTTTGTCAAGAATCAACAACAAGTGGGACACAATCGTGAAGTGGAACGAGATTTATTGGATAATTTAAACTTTTTTTACAAATAAAAAACTGAAAAGTGGGGCGTGCAATATTATTCGGCCCCTTGCGCTAATACTTTGTAGCGCCACCTTTTGCTGCAATTACAGCTGCAAGTCGCTTGGGGTATGTCTCTATCAGTTTTTCACATCGAGAGACTGGAATTCTTGCCCATTCTTCCCTGAAAAACAGCTCGAGCTCAGTGAGGTTGGATGGAGAGCGTTTGTGAACAGCAGTCTTCTTTCCACAGATTCTAGATTGGATTCAGGTCTGGACTTTGACTTGGCCATTCTAACACCTGGATACGTCTATTTGTGAACCATTCCATTGTAGATTTGGCTTTATGTTTTGGATCATTGTCCTGTTGGAAGATAAATCTCCGTCCCAGTCTCAGGTCTTTTGCAGACTCCAACAGGTTTTCTTCCAGAATGGTCCTGTATTTGGCTCCATCCATCTTCCCATCAATTTTAGCCATCTTCCCTGTCCCTGCTGAAGAAAAGCAGGCCCAAACCATGATGCTGCCACCACCATGTTTGACAGTGGGGATGGTGTGTTCAAGGTGATGAGCTGTGTTGCTTTTACGCCAAACATATCGTTTTGCATTGTGGCCAAAAAGTTCGATTTTGGTTTCATCTGACCAGAGCACCTTCTTCCACATGTTTGGTGTGTCTCCCAGGTGGCAAACTTTAAACGAGACTTTTTATGGATATCTTTGAGAAATGGCTTTCTTCTTGCCACTCTTCCATAAAAGCCAGATTTGTGCAGTGCACGACTGATTGTTGTCCTATGGACAGACTCTCCCACCTCAGCTGTAGTTATCGGCAGTTCATCCAGAGTGATCATGGGCCTCTTGGCTGCATCTCTGATCAGTCTTCTCCTTGTTTGAGATGAAAGTTTGGAGGGACGGCCGGGTCTTGGTAGATTTGCAGTGGTCTGATACTCCTTCCATTTCAATATAATTGCTTGCACAGTGCTCCTTGAGATGTTTAAAGCTTGGGAGATCTTTTTGTATCCAAATCCGGCTTTAAACTTCTCCACAACAGTATCTCGGACCTGCCTGGTGTGTTCCTTTGTCTTCATGGTTCTCTCTGCGCTTTAAACAGAACCCTGAGACTATGAAAGAGCAGGTGCATTTATACGGAGACTTGATTACACACAGGAGCATTCTATTTATCATCATCAGTCATTTAGGACAACATTGGATCATTCAAAGATCCTCACTGAACTTCTGGAGTGAGTTTGCTGCACTGAAAGTAAAGGGGCCGAATAATATTGCACGCCCCACTTTTCAGTTTTTTATTTGTTAAAAAAGTTTAAATTATCCAATAAATTTTGTTCCACTTCACGATTGTGTCCCACTTGTTGTTGATTCATAACAAAAAAATAAAATGTCATATCTTTATGTTTGAAGCCTGAAATGTGGCGAAATGTTGAAAGGTTCAAGGGGGCCGAATACTTTCGCAAGGCACTGTATATTCTCTGTGTAGCCGATAGGTTGCGTTCATGTTCCACAGTTAAGGTCCCAATGCAACTGTATGGGAAAGAAGCTACTTTTGAATGAAATTTTGAAAAATACTTATTATTAGATAGGGAATAAACATAATTGCCGTATTGTGTATAAATGTGTAGATAAATGTCCTCTTCTACTACATGGGGCTGGTGCTTTGTGTACTGGGTGCAGCTCTGACTGCCACCCCCCCAACCCAGAAAGGGATTAAAGGGAAGAAAATGGATGGATGGATGGCCGTATTGTGCATTTTGAATACTGTCACCACTTCAGAGAAATTGGCTCTAAACTAACATCATGGTTAACGTCATATAATCGTTATGGTAACTATGGTAACTGTCTTAGTAAAGTTTTTGAGCTGTCTTACACCACCATGTAAATTAAACAAAAATTCAGATTCTGGAGATGGAAATTGGGGACACCATTGTTGTTGATTGTAATAAGTCAATGTTGTCTCTGCAGCCCAACTGTCCAGTCTGGCCACACTGCCCCCTGCTGACCGACAGCTGCGGGAGCCTGCGCTGCTCAGCAAACGAGCCACAGTGGAAACGTGGCTCACGAGAGAGGCCAACACACTACAGAAATACAGACTGGTATGTAACTCACACACACACACATGCGCACGCACGCAAAAAGTATTTACAGGTGATATTAAACAGTCATAAATAGGAGAAACGGTACAAACAGAAAGTCTTGAGTTTGTTTTTATTTACATCCTCATTAGCTTCTGAAATATATTCTGAATTGACGGTAGGAATATTGTTTTGTTTTCAGGACTTGGCGGAGAAGCACCAGAAGACGCTGCAGTTGTTGAGGAAGCAGCAGACCGTGATCCTGGACGACGAGTTGATCCAGTGGAAAAGGCGGCAGCAGCTGGCCGGCAACGGGGGTCCATCAGAGGGGGGTCTGGACATCCTACAGTCCTGGTATGTCGCCCCAGCTTCACACTCCTCCCCCACGAGCCGCTGGTCGAGCTCTGGGCAGGACTCTTTATGGACGGGTTATTGGTTTTCTCATGAGTGACAACCATGGCTATAGCATTAGTTTTGAGATATTTCACTAGGCAACCTACAGTATCTCTTGCAGTGAGCAACTCAAACTGAAACCACAATGTGAGCTGTAACACAGTTGGTACTACTATGATCTTTTAATGATCATAATGCATCAGTTTAATATAGCACTTTTTCACAGCAGGGATCCAGAAAGGGAAATAAATGCCAAAAAGCAAACAAGAGACAGATGCAGTACTACACAATGGCCTACAGGGGGAGCAGCACATCTATAATACTCCTTATATCAGACTGATTTGTTTCTTTGTGGATGGTTTTACAGGTGTGAGAAGTTGGCAGAGATGATTTGGCAGAACCGGCAGCAGATCCGAAGAGCAGAGCACCTGAGGCAGCAGTTGCCCATCCCTGGCCCCATAGAAGAACTCCTGAACGAACTCAACAGCACCATCACAGACATCATCTCTGCCCTCGTCACCAGGTCTGTCTGCACGCCTCCAGCTCAGACTTACCATCCACAAATGTAACGCTGTACTGCATTAGTATAAAGCTATCATTCATTCATGCATCACAATACGGCATCACATGAACATTGAGGATGAGTGAGAGTGAGTAAGTCTTTCTTATACTGTACATTCAGCATATTTCACAGACCGAGGTCACACAAAGCACTTCACAAGTTTTTCTGCCTCAGACTTTCACTGCACAGTTTCAGTCCTCCTTCTACAGCCTGAGTCCTGGATCTATGGCCTGTCCGTTTGTAGGAGCGCAATTGTAAAGGTTTTTAGTGGCAGGAGAACATGCAAACTCCACACAGGAGCTGGAATCAAGCACAGGACCTTCTTGCTGTGAAGCACAAGCACTAACCACAGCTCCACCTTGCTGCTTGTGTCAATCCAGAAGGGGAGGATTCATTGCGTTTCAAAATAAATGTGTCGTGTTGTTTCATAGGCTTGTTTGGCCTCAGACCAGGGACATCTGATCCAAATGCTCCGGGGGTTCGTCCTGTGAGAAATTAAAATGTTTATTCCGAACGGTCCATCCTGAAGCTAAAACCATTGAGGTTCTGATAGGAGTAAAGTCGTTTTTTTGTGTGTGTTTGTGATGGGGGAGGTTTACTTTATTGCAAGACATTTTTGGGACTGACATCTGCAAAAGGATAAAATGTAGAATGCTTTGAAAGGCAAATAATCCAAGGCACTTTTGGTTTTCTTAGAATTGAAATTAACGTTTCAAGTGCAACATGGCTATATTTGAAAGATCAAAGTAATTTAGAAATTTCTGAGTAACAGCCCAAATTTCCAAATCGTGAATAATATATATTGAAAAAGAAAACTTGCTACTTTTTACTTTTGCTGCTCAGATCTTGACAGTTTATGTCTAAAATATTGTCAAAGCTGTTCGACCTACGCAGCACAGCCTTCCATAGGGACCGGCTTCCTTCTGCCCACCTCCATTTTTTGACTATTTATTGCACATACATAATTCAAATGTACAAAAACACTTAAAACTTGTACTTTGTTGTTTTGTTCAACAGTTTCCTTGTGTATGAATTGTGCTATACAATTAAATTCGCCTTGCCTTGCTTTTGTGCATGACTACAAAAGAGATGTATGTTGTTAGATGTGAACACAGTCGCTAAAGCAGCCCACATGTCATTTACCCCGAGAAAAGTAGTGGTTTTTAACACATTGAATGCCATTTACGTATTTTTTGTAATACTGGGGATTTCTGTCAAACCCCTGTATTCACCTGGGGATTACAGGAGAACAAAACTAGTTAGAAACCAACATATTTTGCTGATGAAAGTAGACAGTTCAATCTTTCAGAATCTGGTTCCATACTTCCCATAGTCATAGCACACAATATTCTGTGGGTCGTGAAAGTGAGTGAAATCATCAAAAACAGCTGGCAGTCAATGAGTTAAAGAAGCAATCAAATATTTATCACTGCAGCAAGTGGGGGAGTCTGTTGCCATCTCTGAGCGTTTTCTGTCAAAGTTATTCAATTACCATCACTCCACAAAGTGCTAAAATAACGAGGTAATATATTTTCCCATCTCTGTGTGGAGTGAGAGACAAATGCCCAAAAATAACAATTGTAAACCGCTTTGTGACTCTGGTCTGTGAAAGGCGCTATATAAATAAAGATTACTTACTTACTTACTTACTTAATAAATTCCAAAAAAATCAAGTGTTTTTTTGTTTTATTTTGAGCATTTTTTGCACGGATAACTTTCATTACGTTGTTGCCTGTATGCAAATAAATACTGTAGAAGTAAATGAATAAAAAGTTGAATACATAGACATCCATGAACGCTTTGAGATTGGATGATAAATTCAGTCATTTTCTTTCAATGTTATTCAAATCCCATGATGCAAAAAGTGCTAAAATATGAGGTGATACGTGCTAAAATAAATCAAGTGTTTTTTATTTTTATTTTGATCACACATTTTTGCACGGATAACTTACATGGAATTGAACTGAATGCATTTAAATACAAGTTAAACACAAATACAACAAGTAAAAGTGAAATACACAGACACCCATGAACGCTTTGAGATCAGGTGATAAATTCTCTGCCGTTGCTTGTTTTTCAGCACGTTCATCATCGAGAAGCAGCCTCCGCAGGTGCTCAAGACGCAGACCAAGTTCGCGGCCACCGTGCGGCTCCTGGTGGGGGGCAAGCTGAACGTGCACATGAACCCCCCACAGGTCAAAGCCACCATCATCAGCGAACAACAAGCCAAGGCCCTGCTCAAAAACGAGAACACCAGGAAGTAAGGATTTGGAGATAAGATAAACTTTATTGATCTCACAAATGGAGAAATGCACATGTCACATTTGGCATAGATAGAATCACTCAGGGTTAGGGTACAAAAAGACAGGAAATGTGCAAATACTTTAAAAGATTGACTCTGTTTTGCAATATAGATTATGTACAATTCAATGTAATTAAAAGTGACTAGAGTTTTTGTTGTTGCTGTTTGAAGCATTTTAGTGATTTTACTTTGAAACCAAATTCAGTTCATTTTTCATTTGCAGTAAAACCACATTGGAATACATGTGCAAAAGTACCCCAGTGTGCACCAGACAAGTACTGTATTAAAAATAAAACAAGCTAGAAAAATACAGGAAGCATTTGTCATTACATACAAATAACAAACTTTTTAATAACAAAAAAAATACCTATACTTGCCTATATAGTACTAATATTGGTATGTTTATTTTTTCCAAACACATTGTGTTCAGCACACAGCCATTACTTTCTTTGACACAAATGGGCGGCACGGTGGCTGAGTGGATAGCACTCTCGCCTCCCAGCAAGAAGGTCCTGGGTTCGAATCCCGGTTGGAACAGGGCCTTTCTGAGTGGAGTTTCATGTTCTTCCTGTGTCTGCGTAGGTTTCCCTTACCACTAAAAATATGCTCACTAGGTTAAATCCTCCAGCTCTGGTAGTCCTGACCAAGTCAAGCATTAACATCTGGATATGGGTTCCCGGGTGCTGTACTAGGTGACCACTGCTCTTGACGTAAGCCTTAGTGGCATCAGGATTGGTCAAATGCAGAGGACAAATGTCCCTACGGGGTACACATTTACATTTATTTGCATTAGTATTTATAAATATGGCGTGAATAAACCCAAACCCAGCGCGCATCTATTGTGCATCATTCACATTCACATTTATAATTGCACGGTAACAGTAAACAATACAATACAATATTTAACAATAATCTAGTTTCATAATAAATCCTAACCTTTCTGTGAACTTCTTACACATTGTTAGGTTTTTTTCTCTTTTCCTTTCAAATGGACTATTAGTTATTATGCTGTGTTTGCTCTGAGTGGCTCTCCAAAAAAACACACTCAACTCCAAGTACGACATAACCTTCAAAAATCAATGTATGTTTTGAGTGTTGTGCAAAACACAGTTCAAGTTAAGGTTTCTGCCCAGTTCAATCATCATTTCTATTGTGCAAAGGTAAAATAAAATTAATTCATCGGTTTTATATAGCACTTTCAATAGTGTTTGTGAGACTTGGTTAAAAGCCTGTATACTGGAATAGAGACATAGTGTACATTTTCCCACATTCCGAGTTGCAGATCACAGTTATAGTTCAAGGAGCAATATGTAATATTTGCATGTCAAGTCATCATTAAATGACCCGAATATTTCAAAAGGCATTAATAAATCATGTTCATCCGAGATATTTGATTATCAAAATTAGTTTTACGACCCGTAAAAGTTGTTATTGTTTTCATTTTCATGTCCTACCCTCCGCCGTTTCGCCAATCAGGAAGTGTCATGTAAGTCCGTGATCGGGTTGCCAGAACTCCGCGCGGCTCATTAATCTCAGTGGTAAAATAACATGTGGCGCAGAACTAAAAAAGGTCTTGTTATGACTCTCAAATCATTAATGACAAAACAAAGACTAAAACGAGGATTTATATCGGGATGCCTTTGAACAATTGAGACAGCTGATAAAAGTTCACGTGTGATGCAGAATTTTCTAGTTTGAGTCCGTTCTTCACAGTTTCTCTGTTCGTGTGAGTCGGTGGTCTAGCGGTCTAAACTGTGCGCTTACGATGCAGGAACCCGGGTTCGATCCCGGGCTATGTCTTTTTGTATTTATTGCATGTTATCACATTCTATGACAGATTGCTCTAAAAACGGTAAAAGATGAAGGTCAAGACGTTTTTTTTGCAGATTATAGTTTAATTGTAAAAATAATCATTTAAGACCACATGTACCCCAATTAAAATAATGTTAGTCTCTTTTTGATGTGGGACTTTTACATGTTTGTCTAAAAAATAGGGAATAAATAAAATTGAAAGGTGATATCCTCTTGAGCAAACCCTGATGTTGATACGCTGAAGAAATACGTTCCAACATTCATTCTTCCCACTCCTATTTTGGACATCAATTGCTTATTTATTTTGCATAAACTATGTATAATTACATTGCTTTTATTTTGTTTTTGTTTTTTATCTCAAATGTCCAAATAATAATAATAAAAAAACATTAATCAAAAATTCATTCAGCATTAGCACGGCTGTCATGGCAATGTGAATGGAGGCGGACAAACAACTGATAAAATAATTCCCTGTGTTTGCTGCTGGATTTGGTGTGAATCTGGCAACCTGAGTCAGGGAGAGTGGGAGAGGACTACAAAATATTGACTGTGACTGCAGTACCACTTTTGGACAGATTTTTACATATTGTTCCTTTCAGAAAAGACCATAAGGAAGTTTACATTGGATGCATAATTGAAAAGCCCAATTTAAATCACAACCTGTCTATATTTTGGCACAAAAGTAGATATAGCTCAATAAATGCCTTTTTTTTGCAACTTTTTTCACTGACTTCCTAACCCCAACCCAGAACCAACTTATCTAGATGGCTCGCAGAAGCTGAAGTCCAGGGCCCTACCATAAGCCCTGTTTCCACCAGCTCTACTCGGCTCGGCTCTTTACCTGGTTGTGTTTCCAATATGCTTTAGTATGTGGTAGAGCACAGTGTTTCCTCTAATCTGCCGTATTGCTGAGTGAAGATGGCAATATGATTATTAAATGTGAATGTAAATGCACACTTAATTGTTAATTGTGTTTTTACTCAGACAGATGAAAAAATCGAGGGAGCATTTGTGCCGTATATATAATACCTCCTCAACCTCTTGTGCTTTCTGTCTGACTCTAGATTAAAATACCCACTGCATATCTTTCCCCTGGATGATATTACTTTTTTGAGAGAGAGACCTTCACAGGCAATGCATTCTGGGAGGTTGCAGATTTGCAACAATGGCCCGCAGTCAAACATAGGGATGTGGAGTAGTTGGGTATTAAGAACTGAAGTTGTAGCAAATCTGCAACACCTGCCTGGAGAGGGTTAATGTTTTAAATAATGCATATTTCTGACTATGAGACACTATACTATTGTGTACAGTAAGTATTTTTCCAAATCTACAGGAGCTGAAAATATGGTGTTTAAATTAGGGCTGTCAAACGATTAATTTTTTTTAGTTGATTAATCGCATAGTAATTGTGAGTTAAATGTTTAACATTCTATTTCAAATCCACTCCAATTGAAGTTAAATGAGATTATCAAATATAATTATCAGTGTTGGGTAAGTTACTTTGAAAAAGTAATTAGTTATAGTTACTAGTTACTTCTTCCAAAAAGTAATTGACTTACTAACTGAGTTACTCCACTATAAAAGTAACTAGTTACCAGTAAAAGTAACTATTGCGTGGTACCGAGCTTTAGCTGGCTGTAATTTAGGATAACTTCTAAGTAGATTAATTGTTGCAACAACCCCACCCTATTTTAGTATGATATGTTAGTTTAGGGAACTGTCCTGCAGGCAAACAGGTATAAGACAGGCCAAGGTGCCATTTAATTAAATTGCATTTATTTGTATCCATTGATCAAACAAACAGATTAGAAAACTTGCAATTGAAAGAGACTATTTTAAAATAATTAGTTCCCAAAAACACACACGAGCAACACTCGCGCCTGACAGTCAAGAACCAGGGAAAATACAGTGCGCAGAGCGCTGAGTATGTGAACACAGCAATCGCTTGCTGCTGTTATTATAATAGCTAGATCCATGCTTGCAGCCCGTGCAAAGCTTGCACTCACTCACAGCCGCTAACAACAACCAGAGCGGCCACGGAGGAGGCCATCTCACACGCAGCATTCTGAGTGATATTCTTATGGATAAATGGGCGGGTCATTCGGAAATGCGTTAATGCGTTTAAAAAAAAATAACGCGTTAATAAAAAATGTAATTAACGTGAGTTAACGCAATAATTTTGACGGCCCTAGTTTAAATAAATGATGGTAGGAAGAGATTCTATTCCCATTTCAGTGCAATTGTGTGAAAGGGAAAAATAAGGTTGCCAGTTCACAATGACACATCTAAAATCCATGAAAACATGTTTTGCAGCTTATTTTCATTGCCAGTAAAATGCGTTTCTTCCCAATGTGTTTATACTGTGTGTCTTTTCTCTGGCAGCGAGAGCAGCGGGGAGATCCTCAACAACAACTGTGTGATGGAATACCACCAGACCACGGGCACGCTCAGTGCTCACTTTAGGAACATGGTGAGTTCAAATGTTCCAACTTTATTCACTAAAGACAAACAGCATTCAGGTATGTAAAAAAACAATTGAATTAGGACATTACAGCCAAATGTCAACCCCAGCGTCTAACCAACCCCCACCCGGGACACAGAATATAACAAAAAATAAAAAGGCCCGCAAAAAAATCTAAAAATAAAATAACTTTTCTCTTTAGGCTAGGTTTCTTTTTAATTCATAAATGGTTGGGATTCGTCTAAACTTCTATTCTGGGTTTGACAAAGTTTTAGGTATTTTTGTATTTTTTCCCATCATCATCGCAAATGTATAAAGAAATAACAATATAAAACAGAGACACAGACACTCACACACACAAACACAAACACATACACTCAAAGAGAGGAATCATGAGTTCAAATGGGACTTTGTAAAGCAGGGGTCTCTGCTGGTCTATACCTCAAAACTTTCCGGTAGCTCGCAACCTCCTTCCAATTGGCTCCTCTAAAGATTCAGTGCTCACAGCTGTTGTGAACTTAGTGCCCTAAATGGATAAAATAGTGTTTACAGTAAGATTCCCATAGAACAAGTCAGCCATTATACTGTAATTACCCAATTTACTTTCATCAGCTTTAAATTAGCGGCTTGCTGCCTTTTTTATTCTGAAAAATGTACTCTCCGTGGGAAAAAAAGTTAGAGACCCTTGTTCTATTGGCTATATCGCTGAATTATCAAACAATTACATTTTACTCATACAGGCACACACACATGCACACACACAAACACACACACGCACACACACAAACACACATACACGCACACACACGATTTTAATAATATTGTATCAGTTTTATATATAGAGCCTTTTTGGATTCTCAAAGACGCTTCACAGGTTCTTATTCATTCACTCCATGCGCGGTGCGGAAAAACTATTCCCGTAGCCACAGCTGCCCTGGGGCACACTGAGAGAAGCAAGGCAACCAGTATGTGCCATCGGCCACTCCGCCCACCACCCACCATTCGCGCGCACGCACACACACACACGCACACACCACTCATTCTAGGCAATGTGGGAGAAGAGTTTGTTTTATCATTATAACACATACAAAAAAATAAATAAACTTATATATAATACTTCTCAACCTTGTCTTTTTTATGCCTGACTCTAAAATGAAACAACCGCTGTATATCTTTCCCCTGGAGGAGGATGTGCCTTGTCTCCATCTCGTGTTAACCACTCTCCCATTGGGCTCATATGGTTTATTCACAGCATCTGATTGAATTATAGATACGGCCGTGCTCTTAAGCGTCTCGTCTCTGTCCACAGTCACTGAAGAGGATTAAACGCTCGGATCGGAGAGGAGCGGAGTCGGTGACAGAAGAGAAATTCACCATTCTGTTCGAGTCGCAGTTTAGCATCGGCGGCAACGAGCTGGTGTTTCAAGTGAAGGTAAACGTCCGCTGTTGTTAACGTCTTTGAGGGTCTGGGTTCACAAACGGGGCCTCCATATTATGCTTTAACACTACCAGAACTACCAGAGTACTTTTGTGTACTTCTTGGGCTTCCAGGTTATTATAAAACTGGTTTGAACTAATGCTGTGATGGGGTTTTATGCCTTTTTAAATCAAGGCATACAACTGAAAATGAATACTATGGATAGGGAAGTCTGGACGTCTTTACTTAGATTTCTGACCTGGCAATGGACACAGCCTCTGACATCATTGCGAGTGAATAGAAAATGATCTGTACTCCAAAAATATTATAACACTGCAAAAAATGACAAAATATGAGCAAATAAATGCTGGAATTGAGTGTTTTTATCTTTATCTGAGCACATTCTGACTGCCTGAAAACAAGATTTGCCAAGATTTGTACCATTGGCATATCTTGTTTTAGGACCAGTGGGGGCGGGTCCCAGCTCAAAAGTGGCCAAAATGACGTGTGCTGACATGCTTGCAATACCACCCCGGGCCGATGGGGGTGGACCCAGAAGAAAAATTAGCCAATGCTAACATATAGCATTGGCAGACCTCTCGAAAACGTCTTTACAGGATGGACCAAAAGTTGGCTCTTGGTCCAAAGCTCCGTTCCACATGTGTGTCAATGCTGAGGGGGGTGGATTTTTTTGGACCACTCTAGTTTACTCGCTGTGAATTTTTGAAGTCACTCGTTCAAATTAATGGAGCTGACGCCGGCTGACGCATGCGCAGATGCGTTTTTTCACAATTTTCTTGTGGTCGCGACCACTCGCAGCCATTTTGGATTGCTCCAGTAGAGCACTATTTTTGGCCCATTAGTAAGAACAGGCGGAGATAGGCGTGACTCTGCGTTAATATTTACAGTCAATGTTGGGGCCTTGGGCTGTCTTTGGCTGAAGTTGTGTTTTATCCTCAGCGTAGACTAGTGCCTGGTGCCATCTGGATCTTAGTGAATATTACATGAAACAGAGTCAGAGGTACAATCATGTTGTAAAGTATATGGTAGAGAGAGAGAGAATATAGAACACATGTTAAAAAATTTAGAATGTTAAAGTGTCCTGGATCATCACCACATCCTTCTAGTTGGACACTAACTGCCCAACAGACCTTCCTGCATCGGCAAGGAACAACTCATAAGAAAAACTCAGTGGGAAAAAAGTGAGAAACCTCGGGGAGACCAACTATTTGAGAAAGGGTTCCGCTCCCTCGGACGGACGGGCTAATGATCCACGACCTAAGCTACAGAACGTGGACCAGCGGCCCCAGAACGTGGACAGGTCTGGTGCGGGACTGAAGCACTCCCAGGCGGGTCGGGCAGGGCAGTCCGCAGGTGTAGATGATACACATTACACAGACTCCAAGACCGGACGAGACCTGACCAAATGCTAAATTGAAGAAGAGTGTTTTAAGCCTGGCCTTAAATGTAGAGGCCGTGTGTGCTTCCTTAACGTGGATGGGAAGCTGGTTGGGAAGAAGTGGAGAAGTTGAAAGAAGTGCATTGAAAGAGGTGCATTTCCTTCGAGAACGCGCCAGGTGGAAAACACACAGGAACATAGACATCTCCGACAGCTAGCTTCAGGAGAGAGCAGGTGAACTGGGGCTGTAATCATTCGGGGCTGCAATCATTATGCATGCCTTCTAGTTTTTGTTCTGCTTTAACTTGTTTGCACCGAGAGCCAAAGCAACTTCGTAGTTTGTGACTTCCTGTTGCCCACATGGCAATAAAAGGATTCTGATCAAGGCAAGGCAGGTTTATTTGTATAGCACAATTTATACACAAGGCAACCCTAAGTGCAAAGTCACAGTACATTAAGTAAGTAAGTAATCTTTATTCACGGACCAGAGTCACAGTCGCGGTTTACAATTTTGGGCATTTGTCTCTCACTCCACACAGAGATGGGAGCAGGGTTGCCAGTACAGGAGGCACATGCCAGACCTACTGTACATGTTTTTAGTGGTAGGGGAAATCGGAGTACCTGGAGGAAACCTACGCAGACATGGGTGAGAACATGCAAACTCCTTTCAGAAAGGCCCTGTTCTGACTGGGATTTGAACCCAGGACCTTTTTACTGAGAAGCGAGAGAGCTATCCACTCAGCCTGCTCGAGCTGCTGCATTTTGAATGTACTGCAGCTGTTTTACAGCCTGTTTGGACAGACCTGTGAGCAGGCCATTGCAGTAGTCTAACCTACTGGAGACAAATGCATGGATAAGAATCTCCAGGTCTGCTTTAGACACTATGTTTTTGATCCTGGCAATGTTTTTTAGATGGTAAAAAGCTGCTGATGTTACTGATTTGATGTGGCTATTAAAATTTAAGTCTGAGTCCAGTATTACCCCTAGATTTCTGACCTGGTTTGAAGGTTTTAGGGAGAGAGACTGTAGGTGACAGATGACGCTCTCTTTCTGTTTCTGGGGACCAATCATTTTGGTTTTGTCTATCTTTAGTTGAAGATAGACAATTAATTAAGTTCATTTTGGTCACTTGTACAATTATACACATTGTTTACGGAGCAGTATTTTTACAGCAGAATGACAGAAAATGTGTCGGCTGACTCTCTTTAAGAATATAACACAAACTTTATGTTTATGTTTGTAGCCGCTTGCCCTTCCCTACCTACATCACTTTATTATTGTATCAAACAAAACTTCTCATTTTAACGTTTAAACAACTCAGCTTGAACCAGATCTGTGTTCTCTTCTGCAGACGCTGTCCCTTCCTGTGGTGGTGATCGTTCACGGGAGCCAAGATAATAACGCCACAGCAACAGTGCTCTGGGACAATGCGTTTGCTGAACCGGTAAGACGCCCCTAGTCTTCATGCAAAAACAAAATACTACACTGCCAATAAAAATAAAATATATTTCAAAAAGACAATGCTCAGGCTAGAATCGCATCAACAGATTCTGGTTTTTGAATCCACAGGGCCGTGTGCCTTTCCTCGTGCCTGACAAAGTCCTGTGGCCGCAGCTTTGTGAAGCCATCAACATCAAGTACAAGTCTGAGGTCCAGTCCAACCGGGGCTTGTCTGAGGAGAACCTGGTGTTTTTAGCCCAGAAGGCGTTTAGCAGCTGCAGCAACAACCAAGAGGACTATCGCAACATGACCATGACCTGGTCCCAGTTCAACAGGGTCAGAGAATACTCCTCTCACACACGAATCACATACTAACTACACAATCACGGCTTATAGTATCCAACATCATTTCAGAAGTAGTTTTGTGAACAGTGTGTAGACAATCAATTAGTTATTTATTTATTATATGTTTATTTACCGCTGTCGAACTGTACACAATAAGTTACTTTAAGTCACTTGCATTAGGACTGAAAAAATCTGCACTACTATTGACACTGTTTCTTGTTCATAATATATCCTGCATTTAACATGTTTGCACATTTCTTTCTTTTGCACAATCCTGAGTGTTTCTATCCGTGCCAGATGTGACATGTACACTTCTCCTGTGTGAGATCAATAAGTCTATCTTATCTTATCTTATTAGGGACAAAAATAGGAAGCATTGTTACAAATAGCCCATGGCATGTCCATAGGCCATATACAGTAGCAAACAGCTAATTTGCAGACTTGGTCCCAAAGACTTAAAAATACATCACATTTACAGATCATTATAAAAACATAGATTACACAGTACAAAATAATTACAATAGAATATAGAGACGTCCCACGTCACGCCATTTGGAGCAGCCATTTTGACGGTGTAGAAATGCAAAAGTGCATGTTTGCACATTTCCTCCCTTTGCACAATCTGAGTGTCTCTATCCATGCCAAATGTGACATGTAAATTTCTCCTCTGTGAGATAAATAAAGCTTATCTTATCTTAAAACCGCCGGTGATACTACAGGTAGTAGCGAGTTTTCACTATCATGCCGGACCTGAAGAGGATCTGATTATGGATTTAGGTTCAGTATATAAATGGGTAACTCACCGCTGATGTTCAGAATTCTTTGTTCAGTTTTCATGTAGTTCCAGAGAGTTTTTGAACTAGCTAGCTTAGCTCCATTGCTGCGGAGTCGGTGGTCAGATTCCGTCAAAATGGCTGACACGCGGCTATGGGTCATGTGACTGGGAGATCCCTATAGAGTCTTGGATTGTGCTCACAAGTTTGGTTCCTTTGAGCCATTGTTTAACTTTAATTTTAAACTCATTCAGGTCTGTTAAAGATTTCAATTGTTTGCCAGTGTATTATTCCGAGTTATTAGTTGCATAGATCCTGAAAGGTCTGTGAATATGGGATTTTTTTTTATTTAATTTTTGTTCGCCAAAATCCAAAAACAATGCTTAAGTGATGTCCCTAGAGAACATCTTCAAAAAGAGCTCTTGCATTGGGTTGGTTGATTGGTTGAATGTTTTGGATTATAGATTTGGTGGTGAATAGTTAAAGCAGTCTTCTGAGCAGAGCATTTTGATATATTTCCAGTTTGTAGGAGATTGTCTGGGAATCCCTCCCTCTGGGGCAGGATTAAATTCCAGTTCTCAAACCACTCACCATGAAAAATGACATGAAAAAAGTCTTTTGACAATCTGGTGACAGTTTTGACATTCACCCCTATACAAATGCAGGATTAAGCTCTTACTATGGAACAATGGGTCTCATTTATCAATCTAAAGCTTAATCTGCGGGTGGAATGTAAAACGGCTTGTTCCATTTCTCTGCTTTAGTTCAAAAGGACATGGCCTTTATACATCGGTTTGATCCAATTATTAAGTGAATGTCTGTCCCTTTTGAAACTGTGAAGAGAGAATGTAACGTTTTGAAGAAAATCTCTGGTTCGACCCTCCAAAGCTCACCCCAGGAACTTCCTGATTGGTCGAAATTAATTCTAATCCTTGAGGCCCTCGTCATTGCTTTAACTATTCTCCTCCAGCAAATCGTACTGGTCGTAGTTATGCCAAAGCATTCAATTCAATTATATTAATATTTGTATGGCCCTAAATCATTACAGCAGTCGTCTCGGAGGACTTCACAAACGACTTGGCAACAACAGATCAGAGAATCTAATATTTTGAAAAAAAAAATGCAATAGTAGCAAACACAAAGGAGCCATCGGTCCATACAGCAGGCAGAGAGATGACCACTGTCCATAAATGTTGATAAATGTCCTGGATGATCACTGTCTTTAGACCCTCCTGCGTCTGCAAGGGATAACTCTACAACTATTTTAAATATATGGAAAATACTCACTGAATGTACTGTAAAGGAATATAGATTCTTTTTGCAATGAAACACAATTTAAGTTGTCATGTTTGCATGGGAATAAATGCTTGTTAATGGAACCTAAATGCAATGAATAAGTACATTCTGTTGTGTTACCGTGTCTCCGATGAAAGTCTATGTTCAATTCAGTTCAATTTATATCTGTTGAGCCTAAACCACAACAACAGTCGTCTTGGAGGACTTTGCAAAGGCTTTACAAAGTCTACAAACCAGAGAATTAATAAGTTTGACAAACAATACAAGAGTAGTTTGGTCTCTTATGAAAGACATGTGATCCATGCTATAGATTTTCTTCCACTTCAACTGTTGAAGTGCAGTACACAAATACACACTTACTTTGTGTTTAATAAGTCTTTGTTTGTTCGTGCCTTGTTTCCAGGAAAGTCTCCCGGGCAGAAACTTCACGTTTTGGCAGTGGTTTGATGGAGTCATGGAGCTGACGAAAAAGCATCTGAAGCCACATTGGAACGACGGGTGAGATCAATCGTCATCTATGCCTGTTTTAATGCTCTTGTTCTGAAACACGGATAGTTTAAAACTGAGCTGAAGAAAAGGAACATTATCTTCCATTCAGTCAATAATAGTGCGTCACCTTTTATCATCACAGAGGTCCATATAGAGCTCTATAACGAGATCTATGAAATGTAGACCAATCCATCAGTAATTTCACAAAATTAAGATTAAGAGATTGTTTTGTCCCACAGTTAAGAAATCTCAGCTTTCATCAAATGTGTGAATATTTCATTTGTTTTGTTCTTATTCCACAGAGCGATTTTAGGTTTTGTGAACAAGCAGCAGGCTCAGGATATGCTCATGTCCAAACCCAACGGCACTTTTCTACTGCGCTTCAGCGACTCGGAGATCGGAGGAATCACCATCGCCTGGGTGGCAGAGAACCCCAACAAAGCAGGTCTGTGCTCAGCCTGAAGCAGTGACTGTAGTGATGCTAAAGGTCCAGATTACAGACGGATACACAGAGCTCCAGACACCACAGCATGAAATTGTTATAGATAGATAGATGGATGTGTAATGTAGCAGCAAAAAAATAAATAAAAATTGATCATTCTAAAAAGATAACAATAGATAACAATAGTAATAATAATAGTAATAATAGTAATAATTGTCTCCAGTAGGTTAGACTACTGCAATGGCCTGCTCACAGGTCTGTCCAAACAGGCTGTAAAACAGCTGCAGTACATTCAAAATGTAGCAGCTTGAGTCCTGACTAGAACCAGGAAGTACGACCACATTAGTCCAGTTCTCAGGTCTCTGCACTGGCTTCCTGTGGCTCAGAGAATAGACTTTAAAACAGCTCTGCTTGTTACAAGTCTCTCCATGGCCTCGCACCAAAATATATTAGTGACATGTTAGTCCCATATGAACCAGCCCGGACTCTGAGGAGCACAGGGACTGGACTCCTGTTAGTGCCCAGAGTCAGGACTAAACATGGAGAGGCTGCTTTTCAGATTCATGCTGCTAAAATCTGGAACAGTCTTCCTGAAGATGTGAGACAGGCCTCCTCTCTGACAATGTTTAAAACCAGGTTAAAAACTGTGCTGTTTAGCTGTGTATACAACTGAGGGATTTTTAAAATTCTGTTCTGTGATTATTTATGATTTTAATGCTCTTGTTTTGTTCAGCACTTTGAATTGCCTTGTGTATGAATTGTGCTATACAAATAAACTTGCCTTGCCTTGCCTTGCCTTGCCTAATCAGCAACAGCCGTTCAGGTCACAGCAGAAGAGGTGGTGTAACCGGATTGGATACAATACGGACATGAAGGCAAGGCAAGGCAAGGCAAGGCAAGTTTATTTGCATAGCACAATTCATACTAGGGGTGTGTATTGCCTGGCATCTGGCGATACGATACGTATCCCGATACATAGGTCACGATACGATACAATACGATATATCCCGATATTACAGTATAAGACGATTATTGCGATTTATGACTTAAAAGACGAATCTGTAAATTTGTATAAAATATATTTTATTGGCATATCTTCCTTTTGCAAACATTGGCTTTAACATGCCATGTGCCAACAACAAAATAAAATGACACAATCTGCTTGTGGCTTTTTAAACAACTTTAGTGATGGATGGCTTTAGTGCAAAATGGCTTTAGTGCAACATGGCTTTAGTGCAACTTAAATGAGGTATATCCCAAGAACAAATAAATGCAGAAAGTTAGTACTGCTTTCTTTTAAGATTTTTTTGAAGAAACACACGCTGGTCAACATGCCCAGGTTTCAGCGCACTTCTTTGTGCAGTTACAATGTCTCCTGCAGTGGAAAAGACTCGCTCCGCAGAGACGCTTGTGCCTGGGATGCAGAGGAATCGACGAGCTACAGAGGAAATATGAGGATAGGCTCCTTTGTGTTCTCTCCACCAAGTGAGAGGATCACCATTCAGGGGCAAAGAGGACTCCATCCTGAACATCTTCACCTCATCTTCAGCAGCTTCTACATCAGTTTTTGTTTCAGTGTCATTTTTGAGAAGGGTGAATGTGGAACCAAGAAGATCAGCTAAAGCACACGATGCTCTGGGTTTCTTCAGGGGTGGCATCTTGGTTGCAGGATCTGATGAGGGACCAGGTGCATCTTTATCCTCCTCCTCACATTCAACTGGCTGAAAAATATTAAACAAGATTTTATTCACAGTATACATGCAATGTAAATCTTTTAATTATTTAATATTTATAAATACTGTATTTATGAAATACACTAACATGCACAGTTATAACTGTAAACATGCAAGTTTAGCTTTCATTTACTTACACTGCGCTTTTGCATTTCTGCTACCACAGCCTCAGTCAGTCGGGAGAAGATGTGGGCAGTGTCGTCTTCAGACAGGAAGGGTAGACTCTTAAACCGCGGGTCAACTGCAGATGCCATGTACAGGGTCTCCTTCTGATTGGCATATCTTTTATACAGATCTTGTGCTATAGCCGCCTTTATGCCCCTAACTGTATCTGACTCCCCTGGGTTTTCCTCTGTTCCCATGATCAGCTTGGCATGAACAGTTAATATAGCTAACGGACTGTATTGATTCCAAGACAACTCTCGCGAGATACTATTGTTTTTTTGGCGGGCTGGGCCGTGCGCTGCCAACTAGTGAGCGGGAGTGCAAGCGCAGGACAAAAGTACGCCTTTGCATTGACAATTTCGGCCAAAAATGTATGTATAAATATCGATATTTTGCATTTTGGATCGATACGAGAATCGCGCGACGTAATATCGCGATATATCGCCGTATCGATATTTTTCAACACCCCTAATTCATACACAAGGCAATTCAAAGTGCTGAACAAAACAAGAGCATTAAAATCATAAATAATCACAGAACATTAAAAAGAAAGATAAAAATCTAAAATCCCTCAGTTGTATGCACAGCTAAACAGAACTGTCTTTAACCTGGTTTTAAACATTGTCAGAGAGGAGGCCTGTCTCACATCTTCAGGAAGATTGTTCCAGATTTTAGCAGCATGAATCTGAAAAGCAGCCTCTCCATGTTTAGTTCTGACTCTGGGCACTAACAGGAGTCCAGTCCCTGTGCTCCTCAGAGTCCGGGCTGGTTCATATGGTACTAACATGTCACTAATATATTTTGGTGCGAGGCCATGGAGAGACTTGTACACAAGCAGAGCTGTTTTAAAGTCTATTCTATGAGCCACAGGAAGCCAGTGCAGAGACCTGAGGACTGGACTAATGTGGTCGTACTTCCTGGTTCTAGTCAGGACTCGAGCTGCTGCATTTTGAATGTACTGCAGCTGTTTTACAGCCTGTTTGGACAGACCTGTGAGCAGGCCATTGCAGTAGTCTAACCTACTGGAGACAAATGCATGGATAAGAATCTTATCCATGCAAAAGATATCCATGCGAAAGATATTAGAAATAAAAAAACAGACACAAACAGGATCCATCTTTTTTAGTTTTTTATCTGGGCCTAAATCACTGTCAGGACATTTAATTTAATTTACTCTCACTTTATTCATTCATCAGAGCGATATATTTATGGCAGTGTAATAAACCCCTGAAATATGTCGCTTTGACTGAAATTTGTGGTTTAATTTTGCTACAGCGTATTTTAAATCTGTATAAGTCCCTTGCATCGAGATACAGCAGGCTCTGAAAGGCACTCTAAGGGTAGCTTTTCACATCAATGATCATATAAGGATCTCAGGGAAATCAGGAGGAATCAGAATAAAACAAGAAATAAGCGTGTAGAGTTCTGGGTGGTGAGCGATGGAGGACAGTTGGTGCCAGTCACTTTCAACACATTTCTAGTTGTACTTATTTTAAAGATCTTCCAACAGCTCTTTTGTTCAGCCGTGACAGGTTCACAACAATGAGAGCGATGTGTTGTAGAGCTGTCATTGAAAATATATAGTTTAAAAATGTAGCGAACTGTTGATTTTCATTTTCTTTAGTCCAACCTTGAAAGTGCATGCAATACAATAAAATACATGTGACCGTATGAGTAATGCCGTTTTTGATTTGAAAGTATATATACAGAAAAAAACAACTTTCTGTGGATGAATGAGACGCAAAAAAAACGTTTATAACCGGGATAAAGAGCTCATATAAGTTGATGTATGGATCAATGGAAATGGATGTAGGCCTACGTTCAAAGGAGGGTCCAAGAACAGCGGTGAGGATCCAGGACACTCAACATTCAGCCACATATATGGACATTTATCAACATTCGGATTTGGATTTGGCTGTACAAAAATGAATGTAATGGAGTTGAATGCATACAAACATAGAATCACAGTTGAAAATCCTGTGTGTTCTTTTGTCTTTGCTGCTGTGACAGGGGAGAGGATGGTGTGGAACCTCATGCCCTACACAACCAAAGACTTCACGATCCGATCTCTGGCCGACCGCATCAGCGACCTCAACCACCTGCTGTTCCTCTTCCCCGACCGCTCCAAAGACGAGGTGTTCTCCAAGTACTACACCCCGCCCCTCTGTAAGCCACGCTCTTTACATGCTCCCACATATAGAGCATTCACCGCAGCATTCACAGGTTGTGTTTCCATTACACTTCAGTGTTGTATCTGGGCAAATACCCACAAGGAACCAGTGTCTGTGGACATTCCTTGGTAACCATGGCTTCCAGCAGCACTCAGCCAATCACTGTCAGTTAGAATAAGGGCCAAGCAGGTAATAAAGATGTACTGGTTAAACAGGACCAGTGGAAACGCTCCCAATCGGGGTAGAGTAGGGTAACATAGGACAGGGTGGGGTAGAGTGGGGTAGGAGGGAAGGATGGAGCGTGAGATAGACAGGCAGACCGGTGCAGCGTGCGCAGTGATGCGATCACTGTTTTGGACCGTTTTGGAGGGAGCTATGAAAGGTCGAAAGAACGAGATCGCGGATACAAGCGGTCGAAATGAGCTTCCTCCGCAGAGTAGCTGCGGAATCCATCTCCTGTGGGCGTTCATTTTCCGCTCCTTCTCCTCCCCTTTGACTTTCCCGCCAAGTCCGTGCGTTTCTACTGGGCAGTCCGTGCGTGTGTGCCGAGAGGTCCGTGCAATGCGACGCCTCCCTATTGACTTTGCATTGAACGCAGACGCAACGACTGTCCCGGTCTGAAAGCACCATAAGACTGCTGCCCCCACAACCGCAACTAATTAAGCAGAAGAAAATGGATGGATGGATGAAGGGTGGGGTAGGGTAGAGTCGAGTAGTAGAGTAGAGTAGGGTAGGGTAGGATAGAGTAAAGAAGGGTAGGGTAGAGTCGAGTCGAGTCGAGTCGAGTCGAGTCGAGTCGAGTCGAGTAGAGTAGAGTAGAGTAGAGTAGAGTAGAGTAGAGTAGAGTAGAGTAGAGTAGAGTAGAGTAGAGTAGAGTAGAGTAGAGTAGAGTAGAGTAGAGTAGAGTAGAGTAGAGTAGAGTAGAGTAGAGTAGAGTAGAGTAGAGTAGAGTAGAGTAGAGTAGGGCTGGTTGAAACAAACACTATTATTGGGAGAAAAGTCCATTTGCTGTCATTCATAATCTTCACAACAAGACCAGGACAGTGACTGTAAACCTTGAAGCAAAACCGTAAAACTTTCCAAATTGACAAATGTTCTTCTCTTGTTTGTTTTTTTCCTCTTTAAGCAAAAGCAGTGGACGGATACGTGAAACCACAAATCAAGCAGGTGGTGCCAGAGTGAGTCAACACTTTTCTAGTTTATTGTAAACATTTTCTAACAGATGTTTTGTTTTGTCATGACAACTTCACATCCACAAGGACAGAGATGTGTTGTGTGTCATTTAAAAATACATGAACAAAAACACACACAAGATACTTAAATACACGCACACACATACGCAATCACACACACACACACACACACAAATGACAAATACAATAAAAAAAACATGTGAAAACTAGCGCTAGAACCAAACTATTCACCTGTCGAGTTCAAAATATAGTCTGAAAAAATGTATTTCATGAATGAATGGAAAACTGTCAAGGCTTGGTCAGTCGGCAGCAGCTTTGTACTTTGTCAGATTCACAATAACAAAAACATATTCTGTAGCGGAGGATTTCAGGGCCACTGCTTTGAAAAGAAACAGTTTGAAGTACAGTACCAACCAAAGACTCTGCTGCATAAAGGGCCGTTACGCAACTTTTTGTTTTCAATTAAAAGTGTGTTTGTACACTGCAAAAAATAAAGTATATGGTAATTTTTGCTTGAGTTGAGTTTTTTTTATTATCTTAATTTGAGTTTATTCTGACTAGATTTGCCAATAGGACATAGCCATTTATTTAAAGAGTTAGTATTATTTTCTCATTCCATGGGAGATATTTCTGGTAACTTTTTAAAACAAGATAATTTTGCTTGTTCCATTGGCAAATCTGGTTTTAAGGCAGTCAGAATGTGCTTAAATTAAGATACATTTTTCCAAATTTGAGCATTTTTCCACTTATTTTTCATAACTTTTTTCAGTGACTTTATAGAGACCCCACGGCTGCAATGGCACCTTTGCTTTCCGGCTGAGAAGGGTCCCATGAGACAAAATGTGTTGTGTAGAAGATAGTATTGCTTAATTGTTTGGCCGATAGACTTCCATCTTTGTCAGAGGAGACGCGTAATAATAATAATAATAATATTAATAATATTTAATTTTAAAAATAATATTAAAACTTTTTTTTGTGGCACTTTTCACAAACAGTGTTTACAAAGCACTGCACAGTTAGCATGATGAAATAAAACAAAACAGTGATAATAATATAACGCATCAAAAAGAAAAACATGAGATATTAGAGGACAGACAAAAATAAAGATAAAACAAAGACAATGTGGAAAAGTGAAATACATGTAGAGTTTCAAACCGACATTTATGGGACGGCCATTCAATAAAAGTGAGTTTTAAGAAGTGATTTAAGAGAGGTGACGGTGTTTCTTATCAAGAGTGAAGCAAAGGTTCTAGCAATATGGGAAGAACGTCGGCTCGGATCAGTCCTAGTCCGTCCGGTTATGCCTATGTCCTGTTAAGCCTGGGTCCTGTTATGCCTGGGTCCTGTTAAGCCTGGGTCCTGTTATGCCTATGTCCTGTTAAGCCTGGGTCCTGTTAAGCCTGGGTCCTGTTATGCCTGGGTCCTGTTATGCCTGGGTCCTGTTATGCCTGGGTCCTGCAGCGTGGTTTGCTTGTGCTCATTACAGCTTCATATGAATTCACAGTAGCCGATCCTGAATTTGTATTCGCCATTACATTTTGGCCGATTAGAGTCTGCCCGGGCCTTGCACTCGTTTGCGGAGTTAGACTGGTAACTTCACTTCACTGCATAAACTGATTAAGTTTAGTTAACATTAACTGAATAAGTGAAACATTTCTCAAATGTCTTTAATTTCTCTTCATTTTGAGCACATTTTGACCATCTTAAAACGAGATCTTCTTTGTTTAAAAATGTTAAAAGAAATATCTTACTTGGAATGAGAAAACATGCAACAGTTCTTGCAGTAAGACTAAATGGCTTTGTCCCATTGTTTTTGCAGTCGGCATGTTCTCAAATCAAGATGAAAACGACTCGATTAAAGCAATTCTTACCTCATTTTGTATCTCTGTTTGCCGTGTCGAGCCTGCTCACCAGCACAGCAGTGGCCTTCTGCATCAGGGCTGTTGGAGATGGTCCTTTTCTCACCATTAAAAACACCAGTGGTAAATCTGCTCATTACAGCAGTAGCAGGAGGCAAACTCTCTTTTCTCTGTGTAGCATGAAGCCTGAATAATGCATGTGTCAAATGTTAAATCCATAATTTGGCCAGATTGGTTTTCATTTTTATTTAGATTGGCTCATTTTATCTAATAGCAGGGCCAACCTCTCTTTTCATGTATAAGTATGTGTCAAATGATGATTTATGAATGATGATTCATAATCTGGCAATATGTTAGTGTCATTTCTGTTTAAAATTAACCCACGGTCTCTCTTTTGTATGTAAATGAATAAAACTAGACTGGAGTTTGCCATCCATAAGCTCCATTCAATAATCGTTTCCTACATGTACGTCTGGGCTGTGGTTACCTCGGTTGAATCCCCTCCAACCATCCAGCGATCGAGGAGGTGGGGGTTAGGCTTAGGGTGTGGGTGACATCAAGAGTTTTGCAGAATTTGCTGGTTGTAGTTTGGCAATGGCGGTGAATGCATCCATTCATTTTCTTTTCTATTCTGGCAGTCAGAGAGGCCCCTCACTGATCCTCCTGCAGGTTGTGAATCCACAGAAGGCAGCTCTGTCAGTGAGAGCATAGCCTTGATCCTTGGCTTCAGGCAAAGTGGGGTTAAGTGTTTTGCCCAACGACAAAGACAGCAGACATCAGTGGGAGTCAGGGGAGGTGGTCTCGTGGTGGGCTCAAACCCAAGACCAAAGGCCAATGCTCTACCAACAGAGCCACTGTCGCCCCAATAGTATTATAGCAGAAGCGATAGTAAAGTAATCCGTTCTGGTTCAGATATTTGAATATCAAGAAATTGAATCTGGAGCAAGAGGAATGTTTAGCAAGTTTCATTGCTGGTCAAAGATGTTAATAATAATAATACATTTTATTTGAAAGCGCCTTTCAGAACACCCAAGGACACTGTACAATGGACACATTAAAAACAATAAAAACAAGAGCGACAGAATAAAACAGAGTACAATATTGAGAGGGTGCGCGCATAACTAGGTGTTATAGGACTGTCTGAACAGGTGAGTTTTGAGTCTGGATTTGAAGAGTGGCAGGGAGTCTATGTTACGGAGGTCGGAGGGGAGAGAGTTCCAGAGCTGGGGAGCAGAGCGACTGAAGGCTCTGTGCCCCATGGTGACGAGTTTGGCCGGTGGAACGGAGAGTTTGAGAGTGGAGGAGGAGCGGAGTGCGCGGGCAGGAATTGCGATGTGGAGGAGGTCAGATATGTACGGAGGGGCCAGGTTATGAAGTGCTTTGAATGTGATGAGGAGGATTTTGAAGTTGATTCTATGTTTTATGGGAAGCCAGTGGAGTTGTTGTAGGACAGGGGTGATGTGGTGAGAGGTAGGGGTCCGTGTGATGATTCGTGCTGCAGCGTTTTGAAGGAGCTGCAGTTTCTGGAGGGATTTGTTGGGAAGGCCGAACAGAAGTGAGTTGCAGTAATCAATGCGGGAGGTAACGAGGCTGTGGACGAGGATGGCAGTGGTGTGGGGGGAGAGAGAGGGGCGGAGACGGGAGATGTTACGTAGGTGGAAATATGCAGACCGGGAGATGCTATTGATGTGAGACTGGAAGGAGAGTGTACTATCGAGGATGACACCCAGACTCTTAACCTGAGAGGAGGGAAGGACAGATGAGTTGTTGATGGGAATAGGAAAAGTGTTTGATTTCGAGAGAGTGGAGGGGGTGCCTACGAGAAGGACTTCTGTTTTAGAGCTGTTCAGTTTGAGAAAGTTGGAAGAGAACCAAGAATGAATTTCTTGTAGACAGAGGGCAAGGGAGGATGGAGGAAGAGATGAAGAGGGTTTGGTAGAGAGGTAGAGCTGGGTGTCATCCGCGTAGCAATGGAAATGAATGTTGTGTTTACGAAGGATGTTACCGAGTGGGAGAATGTAGATGATGAAGAGGAGGGGCCCCAGGACAGAGCCCTGGGGCACACCAGCAGAGACAGGGAAAGTGTTGGACCTGTGGGATTTGAGTTGAATGAACTGTGTGCGGCCAGAGAGATAGGAAGTGAACCAAGCAAGGGGGGTGTGAGTTATGCCAATGGAACAGAGTCTGTCAAGGAGAGTGGAGTGAGAAATGGTGTCAAAAGCTGCGGTGAGGTCAAGGAGGATAAGAATGGAGAGCAAACCAGAGTCAGAAGCTATGAGGAGGTCGTTAGTGATTTTGAGAAGAGCTGTTTCAGTGCTGTGAAGGGGACGGAAGCCAGATTGAAACTTCTCGTAGATATTGTTTGTGATAAGATGGTTATGGAGTTGAGCGGCGACAGATTTTTCGAGTATTTTGGAGACGAAGGGAAGGTTTGAAATGGGACGGAGGTTATCAAAGTTGGTGGGGTCCAAACCGGGCTTTTTCAGGATTGGTGTGACTGTGGCGGATTTGAGTGAAGAAGGGACAGTACCAGAGATAAGAGATGAGTGGATGATATTGGTGATAAAGGGAGCAAGTGAAGGAAGGCAGGATTTAACAAGAGCTGTAGGGAGGGGGTCAAGCGGGCAGGTTGAGGGTTTGGATTTGAGGATGAAATCGGAAATGACTTGAACGGAGGGGAGGATGAAGCTGGAGAATGTAGTTGTAAGAGATGAGTGGGGGGCCGGGGAGTCTACTCCAGAAACTGCAGCTCCACATGTGAACAGGTGTTGATGGATATTGGAGATCTTGGAAACAAAGAAAGACATGAGTGAGTTACAGAAGTCAGTGGATTGCATGTGGTGTGGGAGATTTTAGACAGGGCTAATATCAAACGGTAAAAGGACCATTTCCTTCATATTATGTCCAAAAGTATTATTTCCACAATAGAGAGAGTCAGGGGGTTTTGTGATATTGGAGAGGAGAGAGAAGAGAGTTTTAGAGTTATGTTGATTGGAGTAAATTAAACCGGAGTAGTAGGCGGATTTGGCAGAGGAGAGATTGTCCTTGTATTGAATGATATGGTTATTGTACATTTCTTTGTGTATAGTGAGTCCAGTTTTATTGTATAGTCGTTCTAGTTGTCGTCCTTGGGATTTGAGCTGACGGAGGGCGGGGGTGAACCAGGGTGCGGAGCGGGTGAAAGAGACATGTCTGGTTTTGAGTGGAGCGTGAGTGTCTAACAGGTTATGGAGATTACTATTGTAGTGGGAAACCAGATCGTGAGGTGAGCTATTAGGATTAGTACTAGGGAGATTGTTAATGTCTGAGGAAAAGGTGGCAGGGTTTATATCTTTGATCTTGCGGAAAGAAATGATTCTGGGGAGGATGATTTTGTAAAGGGTGAGGCTGGTGTTGAAAGTAATGAGCATATGGTCGGAGTATGGGATTGAATGAGGTTTACAGTCAGTGGGAGTGAGACCGGAGCAACAGACTAAATCCAGGATGTGACCTTTACAGTGTGTAGGGAAATTGATGTGTTGTTGCAGGCCAAAACTATCTAAACAGGATGAAAAGTCTTTGGAGAGGGCATTACTGTTATTGTCTATATGAATATTGAAGTCACCAAGAATAATTGCATTTTGAGATATGGATGTGAAATGTGTTAGCAGGTGAGAGAAATCGTTTAGGAAGTCTTTGTTGTGTTTTGGTGGGCGGTAGATGGTGGCAATAACTGTAGGTGAGGGTTGGCTCTACTCCCCCAAGCTACATTAGTGGCAAAGGAGATGGCTAAAGCTAGGCTTAATGCTAAAGGCTTCACTCGCTCGGGTGCATTACATACGGTAAACTCAGATCCAATCGTTTCAATCCGCAAAATGAGTTAACCCCTCCCACCTGTTAAAGCTGCACTAACTGACTTTGGGATTTTGAAGCCGCGGACTCACTGGCCTCTCTCTTTCTGCTCCCCTCCCCGCACCCACGAAGCTATCGCCCCCACACACACCCACTGTTGGGACGGAGCTAGCCTCTCCCAATATGGATAATACATGGACATGGATTTGCACGTGGATGGCGTGACCATAGAACGATAGAACCGGGAAGCGTGGAGGAACGGGACTTTCTTTTGGATGGCTGTCTCACTGTGTAAGCAGTAACCGGTGACGAAGACACACGAAGCTTCAGGTTAGCTCCTCGGCTTGTTGTGCTAACTCAGCCGTCTATGCTAACGGACCTGTAGATTTCTCACGAAAGTGGGGGCTAGTGGTCCGCTGTGATTGGTCACAATCTGCGACCCGAAACACATTCTCTTCCTTGTTTTATCAAAACTCGATCTAAAATATAATGTCACGCCAGCACAAACCTGCGCTACTTTTTCTTCAAAAGGACGAATATCCCAATGCACTACATGGACATGGATAGCTTTTTCGTAATGAATACAAAAATAAAGTCAGTTAGTGCAGCTTTAACAAAGCTCCTGGAGCACCTCCAGACCTTAGTACGAAATGAAACGGTTTGGTGAGACCAGGCTAGAATAATACACGTGTCATGTGTTACTGCATTCAGACAACAGGCTATCATTTCTATTGCAGCAACTACTAATGGTTTTTAGACCCAGAAATCTTCTTTTTTGCCTTTGCAGCTAAGAATTTTCTTTGTTATATAGTGCAGATAAGTTATAAAAAAGTAAAATATTGTGATAAGATTCTAATTATTAATTTACACTTCCTTCCTCATTTTGTCTCCTGCTGTTTGTGTGATGTTTATTTCCTCACATTCAAGAGGTCGCTGCTGTGACTTTCTCCACATCGCAGAATATGCTAATGGTTCATTACTTTGTTTCTATTGATCCGTGCTGCTGGGATCTGCTGCAGACAATAATAGCACTAGTATATTTGCACCACCTGAATGTGCAATGTTTTTTTTTTTTTTTTTTTATATATATATGAGCGATTAATGTATTGATTAATGTATCTGTGTCTGTGTTTTGATACTTTTTCTTCTTAAAATACATTGTTAGACATGAAAAGGCAAAGTTGATATTCTCAAGACCACATTGAACACAAAATTCTGCATAGTTGTTCTTTAAGACTATTTTCTGAAACTATAACTCTCTGTGCCGTCATTTTAACTCCTCCCAAAAAAAAAAAAGAGAATCGGATTTGTCACTGATTTTTTTTCATGTAAGTAATTAATGTGGGTTTTGTCTACACGCTAAAACAGGTGAATATAAATGAAACACAAAAACAAAATGCTATTGACGCAAGTAAACAATATTGTTGCTATGGTAACTAGCTGAGCTAACTCCAAACTGAGATTGCCCTGAACCAGTCATTATAAATAAATGATAATAAATTCATAAACATAAACTAATATAAGATACACATTTTAGACTCACAGGGGAGAAATGTACATGTACATACTGATACTCGATACAGAAAAAGTAAAAAAAACAAAAAACAGTGATCGTTATCTTGTGTTGTTTTTGCAGCTTTGCCACCACCAACCCGGACATGACCGGAATGAACCAGACGTACATGGACCACGGCGCGTCCCCAGCTCCCGTCAGTCACCCGCACACCTATGGAATCTACCCACCTATGTGAGTCTTTTGATACCGACTTGCAACATTCAGATCGCTGCAACTGTTTTCTCTCCCATGTTAGTGACCTGGACAGAGAGAACCATCAGAAGAAAATCTTTATCTTAATATCAATACATTTTGTGATAATTTCAAAATGTGTCAGTGGTGCAAATGGATAATGCCTTTTTCACAGAAATTAAAACTGGGGCACTTACAGTCGCTTCAAAAGTTCAAATCATCTGAGACCATCTTGTATTGATCTTAGAAAATTTGTTGTTCTTGCCATGTTGGCCTGGATCTACAGCCTTAGTCCTGGATCTAGAGCCTCAGTCCTGGATCTAGAGCCTCAGTCCTGGATCTAGAGCCTCAGTCCTGGATCTAGAGCCTCAGTCCTGGATCTACAGCCTCAGTCCTGGATCTACAGCCTCAGTCCTGGATCTACAGCCTCAGTCCTGGATTTACAGCCTCAGTCCTGGATTTACAGCCTCAGTCCTGGATCTACAGCCTCAGTCCTGGATCTACAGCCTCAGTCCTGGATCTAGAGCCTCAGTCCTGGATTTACAGCCTCAGTCCTGGATCTAGAGCCTCAGTCCTGGATCTACAGCCTCAGTCCTGGATCTAGAGCCTCAGTCCTGGATTTACAGCCTCAGTCCTGGATCTACAGCCTCAGTCCTGGATCTACAGCCTCAGTCCTGGATCTACAGCCTCAGTCCTGGATCTACAGCCTCAGTCCTGGATCTAGAGCCTCAGTCCTGGATTTACAGCCTCAGTCCTGGATCTACAGCCTCAGTCCTGGATCTACAGCCTCAGTCCTGGATTTACAGCGTCAGTCCTGGATCTACAGCCTCAGTCCTGGATCTACAGCCTCAGTCCTGGATCTACAGCCTCAGTCCTGGATCTACAGCCTCAGTCCTGGATCTACAGCCTAAAGCTTCACACTATCATTTTCAACGTTTCGATATATTAACTACTACTGCAGCCACAGATCCCCAGATTATTGATCCCTGTAGGAGAAATTCAGGTGTCCAGTAGCAGCAAAAATAAAAAATAATATTGAAAATTCTAAAAACAACAGTATTAATCAGCAACGGCCCTTCAGGTCACAGCAGCAGAGTTGATGCAGCCGCTTGGTTCAGACTATTTTTTAATTTCTCCTGCGTGAGATCAATAAAGTCTATCTTATCTGATCTTTTCTCTGCCCTGGTCCAAAGTAAAATGCTGAATACTTTGTAAGCATTTTTCTAAAAGTTAAAAAAAATTCTGATTTTCACTTGATCCGCTTGTTTCAGACTATGAATCCTCTCTGCTCCGGTCTGGACCAATGCAAAATCATGAACACTGTACTGCAGAAACATCAGAAATAAAACTTGTAAAGCACAAAACAACATCTGTGATTTGTTTTTTGTAATATCAGAGTTGTATCAGAGGAAGAGGGCAGAGAGAGGAAGGCTTGAGTGACGAAAATCATTCAGAACTTGAGCTGAGCGGTGCCAGCAGTAGCCAGCTGTTTGTTTACTCTGGTCTATTTGATGTCCAGTAATTTTCCTCATTCAGGGCAGACGGCTTCAGAGCGCTGCCAGGTGGTATTGGTGACATAGTTCACTGTATATGTGCACATTAACTCATGAATAAACTCCCATTTTTGATTATAACGCAGCTCTTGGTTGTTTTACCATGGCTTTAGACCTGTGCAGACATCTTACTGTGTGTGTGTGTGTGTGTGTGTGTGTAAAGAACTATACAACTCAGTTTTGTTTCAATCCAACCTTTTTGTTCAACTACAATTACCGACAATGAATATACACAAAACCACATTCAATATAAGTAAGAATCTTTGTCGTATTAAAACAACATACACAAACGTAGCCACAAATGCAAAGGATATCAGAATCAGAATCATTTTTATTGCCACGTAAGTAACAGGAGGTCACAGACTTGGAAATTGCTTTGGCTCAGTGCAACAGTCAAAAAGAGATAATAAAAATGAGAATAAAAACACTTCTAAAGAATAAATTTAAAATAGAGTTACAGTTACTATTTACAATATACAAGTGAACATGGTGCACACAATGTAAGGTGACAGCAGTACAGTGAAGTAAAGGGACTTTATAAAGGGCAGTAAAGTGACTTTATAAAGGGCGGGGGGACAGGTTAAGAAGTGTTCAAGAGTCCAACAGCAGAGGGGAAGAAACTGTTCTTGTGGCGGGAGGTTCTAGTCCTGAGGGACCGCAGCCTCCTGCCTGAGGGGAGTGGTTGGAATAGTCCATGTGCAGGGTGAGAGGGGTCGGCTGTGATACGACCAGCCCGGCCTCGAGCTCGGGCGACGTACAGGTCCTGCAGCGATGGAAGGCTGCGGCCGATCACTTCCTCTGCAGAGCGCACAATGCGCTGTAGTCTCTGTTTGTCCCTGACTGTGGCTCCAGCGAACCACACGGTGACGGAGGAGGTGAGGATGGACTCGATGATGGCCGTGTAGAACTGCACCAACATCTGTGCAGGCAGCTTGGCTTTCCTGAGCTGCCGCAGGAAGTACATCCTCTGCTGGGCCTTCTTGATGAGGGAGCTGATGGTCGGCTCCCACTTGAGGTCCTGGGTGATGGTGGTGCCCAGGAAACGGAAGGACTCCACAGAGGTGATGGGGGAGTCCATCACGGAGGGTGGGGGTGGGGGGACAGTGCTCTTCCTGAAGTCCACAATCATCTCCACTGTCTTCTGGGCGTTCAGCTCCAGGTTGTTACCACTGCACCAGGACACCAGCCGGTCCACCTCCCTCCTGTAGGCGGACTCATCGTTGTTGGAGATGAGTCCAATGAGGGTGGTGTCGTCCGCGAACTTGATCAGCTTCACGGAGTCGTGGCTGGAGGTGCAGTGGTTGGTGTACAGGGAGAAGAGCAGGGGAGAAAGAACACAGCCCTGTGGGGCACCTGTATTTATAATCCGAGAGTCCGAGACATTCTTCCCCAGACGCACTCGGGGGAATATAAACAAACCTCTGACATATAGATAGATAGATATTAGCTTTATTACTCGTAAAACAAAAAATAGACAAGTCACAACACACTAGAAAAAGACGACATAAAACAATAAAAGCTGCCAAATGTTTCCACAGTGCACTGAACGCTCTGCTCTTCAATAGTAAAATCGTCATCTTCGCACTAGTGTTCAGGCAACACAGAGGCGCTGCTTCATCTGGGCCTTTTTTAGCAACAGTCTGAAGGCATCTTTGTCGGCCATTTTCTGTGGGCTGGATTTTTTATAATTCACCCACAGATGAGCGTGTTGAGCCCGAAACAAAGCCACTTTTACTGCAATAGAGCAGGATCCAGATTTCCGTAACAGAACATGAATTAGCCTGGGTGTACAGCTATATACGCCCAGGCGATATAAAACACATTCGACAAACTTTACGGACGACGTCAGTCCACTAATATACTGTCTATGCTTTCAACTAACATCATGTGAAGGGGCGGAGCTCAGAGCAATGTGGCAGGACTGTACATGGAAGTGCGTGGACTTGTCTCTTTTATTAAATTTTAAATGAATATTGAAATATCAAATGTACTAGACATGTATTAAGAAAGTCCGAGTATAGAGCAGTCTTTTTCTCTGTCGTCACTATTTTGTCTTGAAGTAACTTGAAGCCATAATTCTAATCTAATCTTACTTGAACGAGCATTTCTATATCACCCCATCATTTCTTACATTATATTTTGCAATTCAAAATCTGCAGCCCTTGAGAACCTCCACCTCCACAAACCAATTATGTTGTCGAAGTTTGAAAGAAGAGCACCGCATTTGTGACTCACAGGTACTTTTGGCTGCATTACTTAGAAACGCTAAAACTATTGCTTTTACTAGTTCATTTAGCTTCATCCTGTGCTGTTCTGATCAAAATCCATTTTTACCAAGAAAGAACGATATTAGGCTTTATGATGGGACCCCAAATGTGGGCCATCTGTACCATGCTGAGGGACTAAATTTCATAGTGATTTCACAGAGCCCTACAGTCTCTACAGATCAGAGAATCAAACAGTTCGGACAGGAAGTGCAATAATATCAAACACATAGGAGCCAGATGACCAATGTTCATACATATTTTTAAAAGTGCATAGTGTTCTGGACTATCATTGTCCTTAGAGCCTCCTGCATCGGCCATGATCAACTCAAATACCCAGGGGGAAAGCGTGAAACCTCAGGGAGACCCACAATCAGAGAGGGATCCGTTCCCACTGACGGACCGGTTTTAGGTCGAGGACTGAGGCTTTAGATCCAGGACTGAGGCTTTAGATCCAGGACTGAAGCTGTAGATCCAGGACTGAGGCTGTAGATCCAGGACTGAAGCTGTAGATCCAGGACTGAAGCTGTAGATCCAGGACTGAGGCTGTAGATCCAGGACTGAGGCTGTAGATTCAGGACTGAGGCTGTAGATCCAGGACTGAGGCTGTAGATCCAGGACTGAGGCTGTAGATCCAGGACTGAGGCTGTAGATTCAGGACTGAAGCTGTAGATCCAGGACTGAGGCTGTAGATTCAGGACTGAGGCTGTAGATCCAGGACTGAGGCTGTAGATCCAGGACTGAAGCTGTAGATCCAGGACTGAAGCTGTAGATTAAGGACTTTAAACAGTGTGTTGCTATTGTAACTAGCCCTTGATCCAAGCTCTTTTTGGGATTTTCTAAGATGTAGGAGCACTAATAACACAGATCATTTCTTATAATTTCTTTTTCTTTTTTCTTTATTACTATAGACCTTTACCAAATGGCCGGGTTGCAGTTTGATGGTAAAAGTGCCAAAAAACCAAGTAAGGTGCCCCAAAGAGGGAGATTTCAGATGCAACCTTCATATGAATTAACTGAAAATGTGATCGACCAAATGGTTTAGGAAACTATTACAGGGTTAAAGGATAAAACTGACGCAGGCCATGTGTTTATTTCCCGATGCCTCAGGAGCGACTCGGGGCTGGACGCAGACGGAGAGTTCGACCTAGACGACACGATGGACGTGGCGCGACACGTGGAGGAGCTGCTGCGGCGGCCGGTCGACAGCCAATGGGGAGGGCAGCAGTCGTGACCGTAACCGCGGAAACACACCAACTACCAACCCCAGTCCCCCGTCCCACCATCCCTCACTGTGTAACCGCATCGTCCGTTTTTATTTCAGATAGCTATAATGTGAATTGTTCATAATGGTTGTAATTTTTTTTTCTCTTGTCTTTTGTTGAAGATTCGCAGTTTATCCAGTGATGCTCAAAATAATTGCGGATAAAAACGCAAATATATATCGCATTTATGTTACAGACTGATCCGTCGCGACTTGCACCCGTTCTGACTGAAGTATTATGCAACTGCACAAGTCATTATAAAACAGTTGAATATCGTCCTTTGTTCATTGGTTTTCACTGGTTAAAAAGGGCGCTATGCAACTTATCAGGATTCTCGCCCTGGTGATGTTTCTCACTGTGGCATTGTTAAAGCTGGGGTACCTGACTTTCAACTTCAAATCAATCTTATTTCTGTATAGCCCAAAATCACAACTGCGATCGTCTCGGAGGACTTTATAAAGTTGCAGATTCGCCGACAACAGAGAATATAAATAGTAGTTTTAAAGCTAGGACACTGGTGTATATGCCTGTTATTTGGTTTGTGATAAGATACAACTAGGATATAAAATTATAAACAAAAATATGAAACAAATGGGATACAATTTGGAATTTGTAAATATTATCTTCACTGTGTTTTCTATTCTTAATACTTTAAACTCCCATGTGGACGGCATGGTGGTGCTTGTGCCTCACAGCAAGAAGGTCCTGGGTTCGATTCCACCTTCAGGCCTTTCTCTGTGGATGTTCCCCTGTGTCTGCGTAGGTTTTCTCCAGGTGCTCCGGTCTCCCCTACCACTAAAATCATGTTCAATTGGTCTGGCATGCACCTCCTTTACAGTATGTCGATCCCGCCCCCATCTCTGGGTGGAGTGAGAGACAAAATGGCAAAGCGCTTTGAAACTCTTTGAAGCCATAAATAATGATTACTTACTTATTATTAGTATTATTTTCAACAAACCATGTCCCCACTGACATGTCTTGCGTCTGCTCTGGAATGAGAAAGAACTGAAACCAGAAAAGTTGCATAGCGCTCCTTTAATACTGAACTCACTGACATGAAAACGCTTTGGCTCTGGTCCTCATGAAGTACTGTCACTGCTACACACTAACAGAGTAAAGACACACAACTGTGCGTCATGTATTAGGGAACTGAAGCCATTGTATTTTGAGAAGAAACGCTGTGTGTATTTTTATGTTTTTGCACTGTTCCTTTGTCTATTCTTACAGCAAACTGTTTTTTCACTCGCCGGACGCTTGGGGAACCTAACTTTTCCCTTCCCATAAATAATAAATAATCTTGTATAGCAATGCAAGTGTAGGGCTCTGGTAAATTTCCATGGGAATCTAAACTGGGGAATTTTGGGCCATATTAGGAATTCATTGTTATGTAACCAAATTGTATCATATCCACGCATAAATATGAAGATAACATCCAATGCAAAATGTCTTCAAGATATATTTAAAGAGAACACGTTTCCAAGTTTAATTTATTGAACAATCACAACAACAAAAACAGGAAATGGAATGAGCTTCAGAGCATATCGGGTCAGCACTAGATCGGAATCGGGACGGAAGCAGTTCGTAAATAACAAACTATACCTATTCATGCCTAAACTTAACCAGCCATTCCCAGAGAATAACCCCAACCCACCCTTAACCCTAACCTTAAACATCTTACTCAGACACCTAAAACTTAACCAGTCACCAGTGAAGGACTTATTAGTCTAAAACTAATTCGAATTCGAGTAGGATTGTCACTTCTGCTTCCGTCCCGATTCCGTGTATGATCTAGTGCCGACCGTATCGCAAGGGGCAGACAAACAGCCAACTGAGGTAGCTAGCATCTGCCTAATGTGGTTATGATAGCTATTTTTGAAAATGTCCAGTTTATTCCCATACATGTGCATTAATTCCCATTAATTCCCATGTTAAGTTTCCATCCTTGAAAATTACCAAAATTTTGTAAAACTAATCTTGTTAAAATCGAATGTTGTGAACAAATCAAAGCCCAAAATACCGCCTTCATCTCATTAGAAAACATGTCATCGTCACTATTGAGCCTTTTGAGTCACTATTTGATGCTTTGGGCTGAGAGCTGATTGGCTGAGAGAGGTTGGTCCACTCTCTTTCACTTTTTCTGCCTGAAAAATCTGATCCAAAGGTGAGACAGAGGCCAAAAATACATGCATGTGAAAACTAGTGGTGGATTAAAAATGTTTTGAGAGCAGAAAATCATCTTTTTTTCTGGTTTGAAAGTTAGATACCCCAGCTTTAAATCCTACTCGGCTTTGTGAAGGGAGAGAAGAGTTTATATCTGCTGCTAGTAAATGGCGTACGTATGTGCCTGGATATGCAAACGCTGAAACAAACAAGCCATATCTATGTTTTGTGTTTTTAAAATTTCTTCTCTAAATATAAGATGTGGTCCGGCTCGGTCCGACTCGGTACGTCACCTCAAAACTGCACATTTGTTCATCCCGGTATTTCTTTCTCCAGCGCCTCGAGGGAAGAGACCAACTGTCTCTCTCTCAACGGGATGTGTTTTGTCAATGCAGCTGAGGGAATACAAGAGCACGGCTGGATTCGTACTCGCAACACTATAAAAAAAAAAATCCTTAATTCGTCCCACAGTGGAGAAATTTCAATGTTGCATCGCTGGTTACAGAACAGTAGGAATGAGAAGCACACAACACAAGAATTACAATTTTAACACAAATCTAAAATCTCCAACTTGAGCACAATGAAAAAGCAAGAATTAAGTACAAAATGTCTGACTTTAGCGTCATAAAAAGTCTAAAATACTGTATATTCTAGCGCAAGAAGTATATAGTTCTATGTACTGTATATACCTGTACAGTATGAGGGTCTGGGACAAAGTGACTCAGTAAAAGTGATATATGTAATTCTATATTTTAAATTATGATGTTTTTAAGTGCGAGACTAAACTTGGGAATTCAAAAAAAGTTATATTCAAATTTGTACGCAAGCTGGTGGTGGAATTACCAGATGTTGCAGCTTTCAAGACTTTCAAAAAGACATATTTCTTTCATTTTTGAACTTTTAAATCTAGGTCAGCAGAGGAAAAGCCTGGCCGACGGAGCACATTCCCTGCATGAGGTGTTCAGAGAGAAGCTGTGCCCAGATGTGAATCAAAAAGATCGGAAAACTCAGATCCAGCTCCATCAGTCTCTTCAAAAATATGTAATTCTGGCGCAGTTGTTCTGTCTCGAGCGTCAAGAATAAGCTAGGCAAGGCAGGTTTATTTGTATAGCACAGTTCATGCACAAGACAACTCAAAGTGCAAAATAAGATTGGAATAGAGCATTCAAATAAAAAATAAGTACATTTGAAAAGAGTGACACAGACCCTAAGCAGCTAAACAGAACTGTTTTTAACCTGGATTTGAGCATTTAAGGAAGACTGTTCCAGATTTTAGCTCCCTGAATTTGAAACGCTGCGTCCCCATGTTTGGTCCTGACTCTGGGTACCAGCAGGAGGCCAGTCCCTGTGCTCCTCAGAGTCCGAGCAGGAGGCCAGTCCCTGTGTCCAAGTTCATTCATATGGCACTAACATAATACACTTTTTTCTCATTTGATGTCTGCAAGAATGTATTTTTTGTTGGACTTGTCGCTGTCAGTGAAATAGAGCTCCATTGGACTCAACTTTGACCATGATTTATGAGAGAAAGGGACAGGCCAGAAGTGTATTTTAATACCAGCTTTATTCCTTTTATGATGGTCTGTTTTTCAACACTCGATAGTAACAAAGAGCAGCAACTCTCAACATATTTGTATTACCTTAAACGCCGGGAATTTGGAAGGAAAAAAAGTTCTGTGTTGTGTAATCCCTCGTTCATGATCCAGGACCAAGTTTTGTCACAGTGAGATGTGCTTCCAATCATTCCCTGGAGTCATTATTCCAAACTGAGCAAAGTATAAATCTCAAAATAGAAATGAAAGCTGTGGTTGTGCCTTAACTAGGACATGTTTAAATGCTTTCAAGAAAACAATGTAAGCATCAACATCTGGAAATGGGTCCCTGGGCGCTGTTACTACGGCGACCACTGTAGTGCCATTAGGATGGGTCAAATGCACAGGGATCAATGAAAAGGCCACCTTTAGATAAAGCTGGGGAAGGTAATTTTTTTGTTAAATGAATGATACCTATTGCGTCCATATTGTCCTGACAGAAAGAGTTCTGTAAAAGTCAAATATCCCACCAGAACATACAGTGTGTCTCTGCAGAGCCCTGTGAGTCACTATTTGACACTTTGGGTTGAAAGATTGGAATTAAGATTAAGAAATCCTTTATTTAAAATACAACAATAAATAATAATGATCTTGTTTGATGTTATTACTCAATTCAATTATTCGTGGATCCCAACAGTAACACACTGCAAAAAGCAATGAAAAAATTGTTTCAAAATGCTCACATTTGGCAAAATTGACCTTAATTAAGATTTACCAATAGGACAATTTTTTTTTTTTTTTAAAGATACAAGAAATTAGAAACGCAACACTTCGGTCACATTGGTAAATCTTATTCGAATGTACTTTAATTTTGTCTTTTTCTTTTTGTAGTGCATATAAAATCCAATGCTAAGTTTGAGAGTTAGGCTTTGAATCGCCCTAAATAGTAGCTCTCATTTCCATGCATTTAAAATTTTTCAAAAAACCTCAATTCAACCTTCTCCGGATCAAAGCGGTGGTCTTCTATTTCCTCACACAGCTGCAATGACTTTTTAATTTAATTAAATTTTTACGTTTTCATGTTTTTACTACAGATACAGATGCTATCGCTCGTTTCTCAGGTTGTTTTCAGTCCCGGTGATCAACGCTATACCTCGCATCCGTCACACACAAAAAGTTCAAAAACACGGACTGTCTGTTTCATCACCGTTTCCCACGTCTCGGTACGTTGCGTCAAAATCCCTGTATTTTTGCGTAAAGATATCACAAAACGAAGAACT